AAAACGTAAGTGAATGGGCAACCTTCAAGTGCAAAGTTAGTCCACTAAACAAGACGAAGAGCTTCGTGAAATTGAAGAACGGAGGAGGAGAGAGAGAGAGGCGCAACAGGTAGAGGACGAGAGAGGAGGAATGGCTGCTGCAAGGCTGCGTAGCTCTGGAGATTGGTGGTGTACCTGTGAATGCTGTGCCCCAGTGCCCACAGAAGAGGAATGCCTCTGTTGCAAGGAATGGGACCGGTTGCAGCCTTATTTTCAAGGTCTGGATGTGACCGAGGACGAGACACCTCCACCTGGAGTAGTATCCAGCTGGGCTTTATCTAGAGCTCGCCAGATATATTTCGGCTGTGCTTTGGAAAGCAGAGCTAAATGGTAAACAAACATGGCAGCACACCGGTAAGGTAAGACAACACTTTTACATGTCGTTTTCTATATGTTCTCTGACATTTATCCTAACGATATGAGGCGGTCTTTGTGGATAAAAAGCTTGTTTAGTGGACTAACTTTGCACTTGAAGGTTGTCCGTTCACTTACGTTTTAACAGGTCTGATGCTACTATGCGCCCCGGCTGTATCTAGGCTAACTGCTAACATGCTAACTATTATTTCTATGTCACTAGTCACTTGAAACAAATTTAGGACGATAGGAGACAGGTTGAAATAAACCGAAATTTTCCTTTGAACTCCAAGATCTTAGAACACCTTAAAACACTTTAAAGGGACACCCAGAATAGTTGGAATAGTTGGATCATCGGATCAGTGGATCAAACTCCGCTTGAAACGACTTGAAGGGTCAATAAAAAGAACCAGGGTCTGAAAAAGCCTCAATATGTTGGTAAAAGCAACGTGATGGGAGGCTAAAACGCTGCTGAGAAACTCAAACTGACTGCAGGGAGAAACAGGACTTTATGTGCTGAAGCTAAAGACTCCTGGTACCAGTTAGACAGGAACTGGTCCAGTAGGTAGGGAACATATTGGTGTCAGGTCTGTGTACAGATCTATGCTCCTATATTTCTATGACTGTGGACTGTTTAACATAAAGTCAAACACCTCGTTAATGGTATTAATATCATGTCAGCAGCTGCTCCACTCCACTCCATTAAAACAAGTGTGAGCAGCAGTAAAAGCAGCAGAGAATAAGGTAATGTCTGCCAGGAGGTGTGAGAGGTGTCGGCTTTCTGTAGAGCTTTAAACCAATGAAGACGTGTCTCACTGAAGCGAGAACACTTAAAACATGTTAGGAAAAGACACATCTTTAACTGTGTCTGCTTTTTGCTGCTGAGCAGGTGGAGCACAGCAGGTTTATCAGACACTGAACAACACTGGAACAACGAGCTCCAATCAGCTGCAGAGACAAGTCAAGCAACACCCTTCTCTTTACACGTAGAAGTTTCATCCATTGTTAAGGTAAAAATATTTAAGATATAACATTTTTAGCTGCTTGTTTTCATCATCAGACGTTGGGATCTTGAGTTATCAGAGACACAAGCTGAGCAAACATTAGCGGCAGTTCGGCTCCAGCCTCTACTGTGCTGAACAGCATCAGTGATAGTCATGGCCGGAGGCGGGTTGTCCGTCTGTCTTATTCTTGTGTACACAATATCAGAAAAACCCCTTGAAGAAATTTCTTCATTTTGGCACAAATGTTCACTTGGACTTTACAATGAACTGTTTAGATTTTGGTGGATTAAGGTCAAAGGTCACTGTGAGCTTGTCTGTTTCATTCTCGTGAACTCAATATCAGAAGAACACCTTGAGGGAATTTCTTCATTTTGGCACAAACGTTCACTTGGACTTAACAATGGACTGTTTAGATTCTGGTAGATTAAGGTCAAAGGTCACTGTGACCTTGTCTGTCTCATTCTCGTGAACACAATATCTCAAGAACGTCATGAGTTAATTTCCTCAACTTTGGCGTAAACGTCCATTTGGACTAAAGGATGACCTTTATACAATCTGGTAGTTAAAGGTCAAAGGTCAAGGTCACTGTGACCTCGTATATCACATTCTTATGAACATGATAAGAAGGCTTTAAGGGAGTTTCCTCCAACTGGGCACAATGATTCAATTGGACTGATTATATTTTGGTGGTCAAAGGTCAAGGTCAGAGTGACCTTGCATCTGTCTCATTCTCGTGAATGTCAGTGAGTGAATACTTGTTGTGGCACTATCCCTTCAGGAAACACAGCAGTGACTCGCTAAATCACATCAACTTTTGTTGTTGTTGGTCTTGAACAGTGATCTGCATCTTGTCAGGTGTCAAGGCGAAGCGTCACATCATCCACCTCCTGATGACAGCTCGTTTACTACGTCACTATAGAAACGCTGATATGATACATATGAAGCGTGTCATTGAAAATGTAATCATGGTTTATAGACAAGTACAATGCATTTTCTTCTGGCAACCGCGCTTTTAAAAAACTGCACAATTAACAGAGTAAAGAACCTTCTATAAATACAAAAGTTCGTCGCATTGACTTCGTTCCACTTCAGAAAAACGCTCCATAAACTGCACACAGTGGCAGCGTGAAAATAATAATTGCCCTGAACACAAACATACCTGTACGCTTCAGGCTCGTGAGTGAAGCTGTGAACGCCACAGTAATGAGCGTCCTGGAGAGACGGAAATTAACCCCCCCAACCGCTCTCTCGTCTCGGCCTGCTGCCCGGCGCCGAACCCCGATACGCTCCAAAGGCAGAGCATTGTGTTGGCCCAGACGCCCTGAAAACTCCCCCACAGCCAGGCGCTCTCTGAATATCTGAATATTACATGACTTATTGAGCTCAGCTCGTAAGTGTGCCCTCTCCTTTAAGGAGCGGGCAATTGCTTAAACAAAGCTTTTCAGGCTGAAGTGCAGAGAGAGAAATATTTATACGCTTCAGACGCTGGTTTTTGGAGGAGCTTGTTAGCACGGTAAACAAACCCTGTTAGTCTGGATTCAAAGTCAGGCAGTGCTCACCTGCAGGCTGCTACATGATGAGAGCATCAATATTTCACACAGACGCTGGGGCTGATTATGTTTTTGGGTGGAAAATCAGATCTTTATCTTCTGCACGGAGAGAAAGAACATGAGTCGTGATGCAATCCAACAATCTGGCTGCGAGGTGATGAAGCGTCTCGTGGATGCTGGATGATGGAGAATGTGTATTTATAATGAAGGTGCAGGTGAGAGACGCTGAGGACACAGATCTGCAGAGTTAGGACCTGAGACAGCAGCTCAGTTCACTTTGATGCTTTTAACGGCCGGAGACGTCGTGAGAAACAAAAACTTTATTTACAGCAGCCCTAAAGAAGTTTTTACTGATGCTGACGTTTCTCTTTGGAGACGACTATCAACAGTTTTTGCTCCCAGGGCGTCAGAATACGCCGCTCAGGCACCGTTTAGCATCTGTATGAGACGCAGCAGCTCTAATGCGAATCCATCTGAGCCATAAACACCTCAGAGCAACGGACACGGATTTAAAGAGCACAAAAGTGGGTGGGTGTGATGTATGGAGGGGGAAAAAGTATCTAAAAAATTCTTAAAATATAATACAGAAATAAATTAATAAATATGGCAATAAATACGGAAATAGATAAATAATTGTAGGAATAAACACAAGAATAATTAAATACATAAATTTAAGAACAATTACAGGAATATATAAATATGGAAATAAATGAATAAAATAATAAATAAATGCTGAAATAAATAAAGAAAAAAGAATGCATTAATAAATAAATGTTCAAATAAATATGGAAATAAATAGATACATGCAGTTATTACTTTATACATTTATTTTAAAAAAATTTCAGCATTTTTTTTATATATTTACTAAATAGATCGTAGTGTAGCACGACACTGCTGCCTTTCCAGTCACTTTTGCACCACTGAAGCCAGGTGTTGTGTAGCGACACACCACTGCCTTCACAGCTGTGTTTGTGCCACAGAAAACCAGGCATGTTGTAGCGACACACAGCTGCTTTTTAGCTGCGTTTGTGCCACACAAAGTTGGGTGTTTTGTAACATCACATCACTGCCTTTCTAGTCGTTTATGCGACACTCCAAGCCAGGCATTTGTAGCGGCATCTGCAATCTTTTCCCGACCATAACCAAGAGGTTTTGTTGCCTAAACCTTACCACCAAAAATGTATCCCGTTTTTAGTTTTTACTGCCCAAGATTTCTAAGTTCAGACAATAATTACGGCTTTTATCTTTATAAAGTTTGGTGAATTGTGAAAAAAGCAAAGATTTTATCATGTTTGGTTTTTGTCTTATAAATCCTGCTTATTGAAAAATTGCGCCCGATTTCCAGCCATAGGTCAACGTAGATAGACTCTTCATGAGCTGTTTGTATTTCACCGTTTTTATCTGCTCTGCCTGGGTGAAGACAGCCAAACTCAAACATCTTAAACTCATCTGAAACTGGAAACTTTTCAAACTCATAAACCTGATTAAAATCCCTGAAAACTGACAGAATGTGACGTGTCTTTAAAAAAGGTGTTAGGTTTACAGACTTTAATCAGACGTATCGTCCAAACATCACATCTGTCTCTGGATCCACCCGCAGTTTGTCTCTCCAGATGAGCTGACACTGATAAACGACACCGACAAACGCCCCGTGGGCAGAAGTGTAACCTGGAGAGGTGCTTCGCCCGTTACACATCGCTTCCTCCTCTCCCTGTCTCCTCGCCTTCCTGACCCCGCGCTCACCCCTTCCTCTGACTGTCTCAGATCAAAAGCTCGACAGAGGAACCGCGTTAGACGTGATCTCACTCTCAACGCCGCCTGTGCACACACTGAGGCGGAGACGGCGAGGATCAGGTGATGGGAGTGTGAAGGCGCTTCAGGTGGTTGAATCAAAGCTTCGTGATGATGTAAAGTCTTACAAAGCCCAGCTGCAGGTTATCAGCACACAAGAGCGCCAAATGTGGATTAATCCGCCGCTGAAAGTAGTCCCTGTGAAAACTTAATACTGGTGATTTTAAAGTTTGATGTGTTTTCCTCCTCTCCTCTCGTCCAGCCCTGCAGGTTTGGCCGGCAGCCCCGTCATCTCCGATATCTCCCTGATACGCCTCTCACCCGCTGCCGTGGCCACCGGCGACTCCCCCTTCAGCCCGCCTCACCCGTACGTCAACCCCCACATGGAGCACTACCTGCGCTCCGTGCACGGCAGCCCCACCCTGTCCATGATCTCAGCAGCCAGAGGACTGAGCCCCGCCGACTGTAAGTTCAGCTATTTTTATTTTCAGGTAAAAAGCTTGAGCCAGAACCCAAAAAACTGTCTCTGGGTGGTTTCAGGTTTCATATCGATGACTCTCTCTGTGTCCTCTTGTCTTGCTCATAATTTACATCTTTGTACTGAATTTTATAAATTACATCTGTGTTTAAAAATTTGGTTAATAAAACTGCTGGTTTTAGCCGTGACCGGAGCAATTATGTTTTTGGGTTGGCCATCCATTGTTCTGAATGTGCAAGAAAGCCAGGAGAGATTTTTTTTAATTTGGCACAAACGTCCACTTTGACTCAAGGATGAACCGTCACTTTGACTTCGTCTAACTCATTTTTGTAAACAGGATATCTCAAAAAAGCTTTCAGAGAATTTCCTTAAATTCGTCCCAAATATCCATTTTTACTCAGGAATGAACTCATGAGGTTTTGGAGATCAAAGGTCAAGGGTCACTGTGACCTCACAAACATGTTTTTGGCCATGACTCAAGACTATCAATATGTTAATTTTGACAAAACTTCACACAAATGTATAACAGGATAATTTACATTTTATATGCAAAAGGTCAAAGGTCAACTTCACTGTGACATCATTTGGCAAAAACATCCACTTTCACTCAAGGATGAACTTATTAAATTTTTGTGGTCAAATATCACATTGACCTTGCATTTGTCTCATTCTCAAGAATACGCAATCACAAGATGGCCTTGAAGAAAGTTTATCACATTTGGCACAAACGTCCTCTTGGACTTGGATGAACTGATTATAATTTTGTGGTCCTAGGTCAAAGTCACTGCGACTTTCAACTGTGTCATTCTAGTGAATTCCATTTCTCAAGAAAGTCGTTAAGGAATATCTTCAAATTTGGCACAAACATCCACTTGGACTCAACAATGAACTGATTGGATTTAGGTGGTGATGGATAAAGATCAAGGTCCTACGACCTGGTCCATCTCACTGTTGTGAACGTGATATCTCAAAAACACCTTGTCGCAATTTCTTTAAATTTGGCACAAACATCCATTTGGAGTCAACTGATAAGAATTTTGTGGTCAAAGACAGCTTCACTGTGACCTTGTCTGTTGCATTCTCATGAACATGATATCTTGTTAAAGTGGGGTGTTTTGTAGCAACACACAGCTGCCTTTACAGCCACGTTTGTGTCATTCAGTGTGGGGTGTTTTGTGGCACAACACTGCTTCCTTTAGCCATGTTTGTGCCACACAATGCCACTCAAGGCTTTCTTGAGGTAATGCATTTGCGAAAATTATATAGATGCAAGTTACAAACACCAAATTCTTACCAGTTCATCCTTAAGTCCAGGTGGACATTTGTGCCAAATGTGATGAAATTTCCTCAAGGTAGAAATTTGGCACAAACATCCACTTGGTAAAAGGTCAAAGATCAAGGTCTCAGTGACCTGGTCCATGTCATTGTTGTGAACACAGTATCTCAAGAACACCTGGTCTGAGTTACTTCAAATTTGGCACAAACATCAACTTTTACACAAGAATGAACTAATGAGGTTTTGGAGTTTGAAGGTCAAAGGCTACTGTGACCTCACAAAACATGTTTTTTTGGCATAACTCAAGAATTTACGTGCAAATTTACACTATTTCTTTATTCAACTTATGACTTCTTGAGTTGATTTTAAAAACACGACTTAGCTAAAGAAAACATTTGACCTTCACGTCTAAGTGTTGTATCTATCAAAAATATCTTTTTAAAATCAAATGATGAGGTATTAACTTTAGAATAAACCAACACTGGTGTAAAAATGCATCCCTGTCTTCTTGCAGGACCTCGGTCTAGAATACCTCCTCAGCAGGGAGCCTGAACTCGACTCCTGGTTGCTACAAACACTGTTACATAAATTGTAGTTGCAGAGAGGGAAACCTTGACCTGCTCTCCCAGGTGACACATAGAGGGGATCCTTCAAAATAAAATCTGTGGAGGTCGATAAAAGACAAACAGTGCTGCCAAATAGTCTCCCACCCTCCTCCCCCTCTGCCCAAATTTACCAGGTAGCGATGACAACTCGGCGCTGAATTACAATAACAGATTGGAGCGCGGCGGCGGGACAGGATATAAATCTTCTTTTACAGTCTGTCAGTGGTAATGTGGCAACGCTTTTAAACTTAAATAAGCGCCCGCGCCTGAGATCTGGCCGCGATAAAGCCGTGCAAGGGGAAGAAAAGTGCGGGGGGACTGTTTGCGGTGGAGGGAATGCAAATGGCTCGTTGAGAGACGAGGCCTTGGGTTTGGAGACAGAGGTTTTTATGTGTTCCAGGTGACCTTTCATTTTGCTCCATGTGGAAGTTAGACTAACATCCTGTCATCACCTGCAGCTGTGCGTTTGGAGTCACTACCTGATACGTTAAATATTCATCTGTTTGTTTTTTGACCCGCGACCTCGCTGCTCTTTCATTTGTTTGATTCGATAAAGAAATACGCTCTGGCGCTCATCGACCGCCTCCCTCATCAGCCAGAGGTTTCTAAAGGTGGAAATGCGATCCTGTGAGAGCAGCTATGATGTCAGCACGAGCACGACGTCTGCTCTCTTTTAGGCCGGGAGCCTTAATGTCGTCTGAAAGATCACTTAGGGAAGGAGGGTAGGAGGTAGAACAAGAGGGGGGACGTTTGTTTCTCAGGCTGCAGAGGAGAGTGGGAGAAATTCATATCAGGCTCTGACTGGCCCTGACACTTTTAGAGTCTCTTTACTGGGTGCAGATGTTAACAGCAGGTGAACACATGACGGGAGTTACACTGAAATTAAACATGTTTTCAGGGAAGACAAGAAACAAACAGAGACTCTGTGGACAGGGCGCCGTGCCATTGTTCCAACAGCCCAAAGATTCAAAGCTCCATGAGTTGGAAAATGTCCCAGTGGACCAAAAGACTGTTTCTCCAACAGCCTGTAACTCTAACCGTCCATTGATCCAAAGTTCAGTTTCCCAAAAACTCCCTGCAGTTAGTTTCTGTTTCTAAGTGGCGTTTGAGCCACAGATCCAGGATGTTTTTGCAGACTCTTCCCAACAGTTGAGCCACAGGTTTTAGGTGTTTCAAAAGACCCATCATGGCATTTCTCAGTGGCATTTGAGCCACAGTTCCCTGGAGTTTTTACCAACCTATCTTGGCATTTCTCAGTGACGTTTGAGCTGTGGATTGTGGGCGTTTTTACCATCTCTTTGCACTATTTCTCAGCGGTGTTTGAGCCACTGATCCTGTGTGTTTTTATCGACTGCTCGTAGCGTTTTTAGCCACAGAGTTGGCAAAAACTACGGGATCTATGTGGCATTTCTCAGCGATGCTTCAGCTGAAGATCCCAGGCACTTTTATAGACCTTTCGTAGTGTTTCCAAGTGTTGTGTTAGCCACAGATCCAAGGTGTTTTTACCAGCCCTTTGTGGTGTTTCTTAACGCCGTTTAAGCTACAGATCCAGGGTGTTTTCGGAAATACTTTGCAGTGTTTGAGCCACAGATCCCCACAGTTTTGACTTAGCCTTCATGGTGTTTTTCTTGGGCTTTCTAGCCACCAAACTCTCCATTTTTACAGACCCTTCGACCTTTTGTGGTGTTTCCTCGCAGCGTTTGACCCACTGAACCTGGGTTTCTTTTTTTCTTCTTTTTTTTACCAACTCATCTCTGCTTTTCTGGCAACTTTTGTGCCAACAAATGTGAATGTTTTAAGCCCACATGAGTGAAGTTTCAGTGTATCTGATACAAAATGTACAATGCGAAGATTTTTCTGGCAATTGGGTCGTCTAACTGTGAGGAGTGTATTTTTTTGGACAAACAGAACTTTGGAGAAATGGCTGTTTGTTTTTGGCATGATGGGCTGTTGGAGCAATGAGCTTTCTGGGACATTTGTTGGACAAATGGAGCTTCGGAAAATCGTCCAAAATACACAAATATCAGGAAAATTTGGAGACTTTTCTGATTCTAAAAACCTGCCTGATGCTTGTTTTAAACTGATATTTAAACTCCAGCGTCTTCGGTAAAGAGAAACTATTTCCCTCCTGAGCCTGAGGGGACACTGGGGCCCGGAGGTGGGGGTGGGGTGGGAGCACCTACATGGGCCGTTGCACATCAGCGACCCCGCCCGCCGGCCCCTCGGCCCATTCATAGATCTCCTCAGCATGAGGCGGCACAGACCAGGACTTCACCCCCTTCTCACTCCTCCTTTTAGTTACTTCCTTCTCCTCCCTCCTTACACACTAACCCCCTCCCCCCTCTGTCTCCTCCACAGTGGCCCATGAGCATTTAAAAGACCGCGGGCTGTTTGGACTCCCTCCCCCTCCTCCGGGGGCGAGCTCGGCCGAGTATTACCACCTGATGGCCAGCCACCGGAGCCCGTACGGCGAGCTGCTCATGCAGGGGGCCGGGGCCACCACGGGGTCCCACCTGTCCGACTACATCACCCCCATCGAGGGTGAGTAAACTGGGAAAGCTGCAAAGTGGAACCTCGCAGCTGTTGGAGCCTTTTAGCCTCTTTTAACTCCTAGTTTTGCTTTTACAGCACTTTTAATGTCTGGTTGTGTTTTTCTGCACTTTATCTCTGGTGTGATTTCCTTCACTGATCAATTAACCCTTTGAAACCTGGAGCAGCATCACATTAAGTGCTGCCGTCTTATTCTTGTGAACGTAATATCTCAAGAACAGTGTCAAAGAGTTTTTTTCAAATTTGGCACAAACGTCCACTTAGACTCAAAAATGAACTGATGAGTTTTTTGTGGTCAAAGGTCACTGTGACATCATCCGTCTCATTCTCATGAACACGTTATCTCTAAAACACTGCAAGGGAATTTCTTTAATTTGGCACAAACGTACACTTTAAGTCACGGGTGATCGGATTAGAATTTGGTAGTCAGAAGCCAAGGTCACTGTGACCTTGTATCCATTTCATTATCATGAATGCAACATCTGTAGAAGGCCCAGAGGGCATTTCCGCAAATTAAGCATTAACATCCACTTTGACTGAACAGTGAAAAGACGTTGGTGGTCATAGGTCACAGTGACCTTGCATCAGTCTCACTCTCGTTAATGTGTTATCTCAAGTGCACCTTGAGGGAATTTCTTAAAAATTTGGCACAAATGTTCCCTTGACATTTTACCACCAAGTTCTAATCAGTTCATGTTACATTCGTCCTATTGTCGTAAACTTGTTATCTCAAGAACACCTTGACAGAATTTCTTCACTTTGGCACAAACGTCCACTTTGAGTCATGGATGAATGGATTAGAAATTGGTGGTCAGAGGTCAAGGTCACTGTGACTTTGTATCCGTTTCATTGTCATGATAACTCAAGAAGACCAAGAGGGTGTTTCCTCAAATGTAGCATTAATGTCCACTTTGACTTAACAATGAAAAGACTAGATTTTGGTGGTCATAGGTCAAAGATCAAGGTCACAGTGACCTTGCATCAGTGTCATTCTCATTAATGTGTTATCTCAAGAGCACCTGGAGGGAATTTCTTAAAAAATTGGCACAAATGTTCATTTTGAGTTACACATTAACTAATTACAACTTGGTGGTAAAATGTCAAGGTCACTTTAACCTTGCATTTGTCCTATTGTCATAAACTTGTTATCTCAAGAACACCTTGACAGAATTTCTTCACTTTGGCACAAACGTCCGCTTTTAGTCATGGATGAATGGATTCGAAATTGGTGGTCAGAGGTCAAGGTCACTGTGACTTTGTATCTGTTTCATTGTCGTGATTGCGATAACTCAAGAAGGCCAAGAGGGTGGGTCCTCAAATTTGGCACAAACGTCCACGTGGACTTCAGAATGAACTGATCAGAATTAGTTGAGATCAGTGTGACCTCACAAAACATGTTTTTGGCCATGACTCAAGAATTCATTCACTAATTCTGACCAAACTTGACACAAATGTCTAACAGGATAAAATAATGAAGGTCAAAAGGTCAAAGGTCAGCGTGACTGTGACATCATCATGTTTTAACGTCATATCTCAGGAACAGAAGGGGAGACATTTGGTCAGATACTGAATTGGTGACTCTAATCTTGAAACTGTGCTGATTGTATAGATCTTCTGTGTGTGAAGCATCCATGTTTTCACTGACATGGATGGAAACTGTAACTGGACGGGTTCACGGAGGCGTACGACCACAAGGCGGTAACTCTAGTTCTGGCATTAACATGGCCTCCTGTACTCAGGTCCTGCAGCCAGAGAGAAGCCCACCCTGCTCCGTCCAATGAGCTGCTTTGACACTGATTAAGCAGAATGAAATTCCTATCAGGGTGCCGGGTCCAGGTGGATGATGAAACAAAGATCACAGGAGAGGCGTATGAATAAAAAAGGCTTGTATACATTTTTCATGTCAAACAACTTCAAACGGCCGAGAGGCCTTCAGGTATCAGCCGCGCGATGTTTCTCCCCCGCCGACCCTGAGCCAGCACTTTTCCATAAACACAGAGGACTTATTGTGCCGCCGTGACATTTCCAGTGCGCGCCATCATCGGGCACGTTAGGTCGCAGCAGGTATATGTAATGTAATAAATGCCTACTTTGATCCGGCGCTTCGCTCTGCACCTTAAAAGGGGAGTCGTGTCTGAGGGGAACTCCTGATGATGAACACCAGAGAGCGTAACGTCATCCGTCTGATACTAAATGCCAACTGCACCTCTCGTACTAATGTCCTTCTCTGTGCAACACTTCCTGTTCGGGGTTACTACTGGTCATGCACTGGCAGCCTTTAAGTGCACATGAAATAAATATAAAGATTGCACGAGGAAAAACTGGCATTTACATCTAATGTTTCCGGAAAAAAATAAAATAGAACATAATAAAATAAAATTAAATAAGAAAAAATAATGTAAAATAAAATATAATAAAATAAAGTGAAATGAAATAAAATAAAAAAATAATAAAAATAAAGTAAAAGGACATAAAATACAATTAAGTAAAATAAAGTAAAATTAAATGAAATAAATAAAAATAAATATGATTAAAGTAAAATAAAAATAGAGTAAAATTAAATAAAATAGAACATAATGAAATAAAGTAAAATTAAATCAAAAAAATAATGTATAATAAAATAAAGTGAAATGAAATTAAATAAAAAATAATAAAAATAAAATAAAATGAAATAAGAAAAAATAATGTAAAATAAAATATAATAAAATAAAGTGAAATGAAATGAAATAAAAAATAATAAAAACAAAGTAAAATGTGATAAAATAAAATAGAGTAAAATTAAATAAAATATAACATAATAAATAAAAAGAAAATTATTTAATTTTAAAGTTTGACCTTTTGATAGTCAAAATTATTGCAGATACATTTCTGGCCGATCCACTAATCAATGGGTCCACTCACTGTGCAACTGCGAGCAACGTGGGCAGTGTTTGGAGCAAAAAAAGGAAAAGTAACTGAAAGCAAGCACCAGCTTTAAACATTATTTGCTTTGGTCTCTGTTGGTGACATTTCACAGGTGCTCCAGGCCAGAAATACTGCAAAGACTGCTTTTAAACTACCGTAATATATCAAAGAGGCTGTCCACATTCTGTGTGAATTTACCTGCCACAGCCACCACTGCAGAAAGACACAAAACAAAATGAATAAATATTTAAGTTAAGTTCTGTTCAGCAGCACCTTCACACCAGAGAAACCTTTCAGCTCCTTCAGGGAAGGTAAAAAACGACTTCTAGGCACCACACCAGCCACTACAGTCGGTGCAAATTTGCCCACAGAGCTCTGCGGTTGAGCGAGCGGTCAGCCCCGGGGTAAAACCCTTCGCTGCAGGTTCAGCAGACACAGCGCAGGCTTGTGAATGAGCCCTCTGTGTTGTGGTGTTGCAGGCCAAACTTGTGCCGCGGGCTGCCAGCAGCGGTGAAGCCGTCCAGCCGTCCTCACTAAAGCTGTCATAACTCAGTCTCCAGCCGTTCCCCGACACTGTGCAGGTGCTCGGGCCAAAACAAACGGAGAGCACGCTTGGCTCGGTCTCGCCAAAGTGTCACTGTTGGGTTACTCGCTGAGACTGTTGGACGTGGCTGTGAGAAGAAACATCACTTCACCTGCCAAGTGCACAAACTGAGATGCAGAGCGAAGGCTGCTGCTGCTGCTTGTTATAACGTGCTTCTCCGACCTGCCCACACTGTATGATGGGTTTCCTCCAACCAAAGTGTAAAGTCTCTACAAGTTCATTTTCATGCTAAGGGAAATTAATAAAAGAGAAAAGTTACTCTGAAAGCAGGAAAACATTCAGAAATACAACAAAAAGTTGTCCATCATGGTAGCAGTTAGCAGCTAGCTAACCGTAGCTAACTTGTTTGTCCATTGTTTGGCCTGTGACGTAATAGGTCAACAAACTCACAGAATAAAGTCAAACGTCCGCTGCATATTTGACATTCTCTGCAAGTTATTTCTCCCGTGTGCTGCGTAAAGTTTTGCAGTTAAGTGTTTGGAAAAAGGTCCTCAGTGCAAAGTTTACGTGAGTGCATGCAGCACACATGAAAACCATGGTCGGCTGGCTGAGTGGCGTCGCTCATGAGCCCCTCGTCCAGTGAGGACGGAGCATTTCTTCTTCTCTTTCCCCAAATGTTCCCCAGCAGCTGTGGCATCGTTTGAACCTGCAACCTTCTGGCTTCAAACAGTTCAGTTACATACAGACCACAGTGGCACCGAGAGCCTCGGGGGCTGCAGCACACACACATTCATCCACTCCCCAAATCACTCCACACACACTCACCCTCCCAGTGGCGGCTGCTGATATAAATCACAATGGAAGGAGGGGGGGGGCAGTGGGGGTGGAGGGGTGGCGAGCGAGTGGAGCCGAGCTTTTCCATTGGTCCATTTATCAGGGGAAGTGGCACATTAATAAACACATCTCCCCAGAGGTGAGAGGAAGTAACAGAGATGAATACGGCTGCTAGTCCTGAACGGCTTCATCTGAGCCGCCGCGATCACCGATAACAAAAAACACACACCTGATCCTCTACACCTGCCCCCCCCCCTCCACCTCCTCCACCCCTGAACACCACTGTCACCGTCACCCTGAGCTACATCTCAACTTTAGCTGGTTAAATGTCCAAATTAGCGTCCCATGACACAGGCCCCGCCGACGGTAATGTCTTTGGTAATAAACCTCCCGAGCTGAGACGTCCCTCGAGAAACGGGCGTTGATGTTTTCCTCTTGTGCGGATCTGTTATATCATCACTCAGATTCCATGCACCCCAGGATAAAAGATGTCTCCCCTCCTCCTCAAGTCTCACAGCACCAATTTCTAAACAGATAACATATGTTGGAGATTTGTACCGGAGGATATACTTAGCAACAACCTTTTAGCCCCCGTCATTAAGGACGGCAGTGAAAGCAAACAAAGCAGAATTAATCGGTCGGGGAGATTAGACGCCGAGGAATAACTGGTGAGGGGGTTGATCCACGCCAGATGTGGTTTGGCTTCCAAACTGTTTCTTTGCAAAGTGACCAGTAGAGACCGTCACAGTGTCCGGCACTGACTGTGTATCGAGCATTTCTTTGTCTTAAAGGGACCCTGAGGAGCTTTCTTATAAACAATTATTAAACTCCACAGTTTTTCATAGAAACCTAATTCTGAAGCTTGCATTCATATCCATGTTCATCTTCTTCTGTCCTCCATTTCTTGGCACATTAACAGTTTGAAAAATTAAAACCCAATCACCAGAAGAAATGTCAGTGTTGCTTATGGTTAGATTTAGGTTTAGGTACGAAAACCACTTGGTTATAGTTAGAAAAAGATCTTGAATTGGCTTAATGTACCTGGTTTTGGGGCTCAATCCTGCCGGAAACGCAGTGATGTCTTCATGAAAAATAACTGCTTTTCACGCCATTATTTCGGGAAGAAAAACTGTGAGGGGTTGCTACAAAAGATCCACCTTTGGTGCCTTAAAAGCCATTGGAAAATCAGTGACTGGTTGCTACAAAATACCCAAATTTGATGCCCAATAAGCCGCAGGAAAAACAGTTAACAGTCGCTATAAAACACCCAGGGTTTGTGCCTAAAAATTCACCGGAAAAATAATGACTGGTTGCTACTTAACAGTCATGTTTTATCTCTAAAAAGCCACTTGAAACATAGTGAGTGGTTGCTACAAAATACCCACATTTGGTGCCTAGAAAGCTGCTAGAAAAATAGTGTCTGGTTGCTATGAAACACCCATGTTTGGTGCCTATAAAGCTACCGGAATAGCCATGAGTGGTTGCTACAAAACACCCACATTTGGTGTCTAATAAGCTGCTGGAAAACCAGCGTATGGTTGCTACAAAACATCTATGTTTGGTACCTGAAAACCTGCTAGAAAAAAGCTTGCTGGGTGCTTCAAACCACCCATGTTTGGTGCCTAAAAAGCTGCTGGAAAAGCAATGAGTAGTTGCTACAAAACACCCACATTTGATTCCCTAAAAATCTGCCAGAAAACCAGTGAGCGGTCACCACACAACACCCACATTACATGCCTGATAAACCTCTGGAAAAACAGTGACATTAGGTGCATAAAGCCACAAGATAAACAGTGACTGGTCACTACAATACACTTACATTTGGTACCTAAAAAGCCACCCAATAAGCAGTGAGTGGATGCTACAAAACACCTACATTACGTGGATAAAGATGCAGAATAAACTGACTGGTCGCTACAAAACACCCACATTTGGTGCCTAAAAAGCTGCTGGAAACACAGCATCTGGTTTCTATAAAATCACCCACGTTTGGTGTCTAAAAAGCCACTAGAGGAACAACAACCTGTTGCCACAAAACACCTACATTAAGTGCATAAAGCCACAGGATGAACAGTGACTGGTTGCTACAAAACACTCGCATTAGGTGCCTAAAAGTCACTTTAAAAAAATAACAACTGGTTGCTGCAAAACACCCACGTTTGGTGCCTAAAAAGCTGCCGGAAAAGCAGCAAGTGGTTACTACAGAACACTCACATTTGGGGCCTAAAAAGCTGCTAGAAAATAGTGACTGATTGCTATGAAACACCCATGTTTGGTGCCAGAAAAGCCGCTGGAAACACAGCAACTGGTTCCTATGAATCACCCCTATTTGGTGCCTAAAAAGCCACTAGAGGTTGCCACAAAACACCTACATTAGGTGCAAAAGTCACAGGATGAACAGTGACTGGTTGCTAATTTGGTGCCCCAAAAAGTCTCTAGAAAAATAGTGACTGGTTGCTATGAAATACCCACATTTGCTTCCTAAAAACCAACTGGGAAGAACTGTGAAAGGTCACTATGAAACACCCACACTGGGTGCATAAAGCAGCTTGATAAACAGACTGGTCACTACAAAACACCTACATTTGGTGCCTAAAAATCTGTTGGAAACACAGCAACGGGTTGCTAAAACACAGCAAGCTTCTGAAGGTATAAAGGTGTTCTTGAATGCTTTGTAGAGCTAAAACAATCAATTGATAAGATAATCTGACCAAAAAAAAAAACCATTTTGTTACTAAATTATTAATTTCAGTCCATTATAAAACAAAAACACTGAGTTCAGCTTCTCTAATGTGAGGAGTCTGATCTGTGTCATACAGTCAGTTTTGGACTGCTGATCAACAATGCCAACAAAGAACGCCAACACTACCATATCTACAAACAGGAAGTTGAGAGCCTGGAGACGGTCCTCCTCACCCTTTAGATTTCAAGTCCTCATTTGAATTTACATTTCAGAGCGGAGATCGATCACATCGCTCTGCATACATTTCCTCACAGTTGAAATCAATTCTCTGTAATTGCCCTCATTTAACATGGTGAAGTACAAACCCAGACTGTGATGTTTATCTGGAGTAATTACGGGGAATTATTGTGGGGGAGATTGATTCGTTATGTCTGAATCTTAATGGGGTCGCCACATGTGGGCAGATGTCAGAGGCTTTCACACAGACCAGTTTTTGGACCAAAGACTGGAGAAGTGTTTTAAGGAAGTGTGTTGCTTAACGGCACGTCAGCAGTGAGAGTGCTAGTTGTAGAAGCCTTTTCTTTCAGTGGACTTCCTGCTGCCGTTTGTGCCACACGGTGCCTCCATGAGGCTCAGTAATATCCTCTGCCACGCTCAGTTTCCATCACCGTGGACAAATTGTTTACTGTATTAGCTGTGAATCAATCTGGAGCTCATTGATAGGGTTGTTCTGTGTCCGTGGGGTTTGAGTGTCGCGGGGAGGCTGCGGCGGCATCCATCACGCCCGTCAGCTCTGCACCTCCTGGATCCTGAAATAACGTGAGCGAGTGACACGGGCTGATGTGAAGAAGACGCTGCGAGTCACTCTTTGGATTTCAGGAATCATTCTTTTAGATTAAGAGTGTTTAGAGTCACAGTGGGACGTTGGGTCAGGACGGAGGACGTGCAGCATTTATCACCTCCGTCACATTAACAGCAGGTATCTGTGGAGACCTCACAGCTCCAGCTGTTTGAAACCATACAGTTGGGTTTGAAACAAAAAACTGAATTCAGTGGTGTTTTTATGGTTAGATTTGTTTTTATGAGCTTTGCTCTCAGCTGAAAGCCCATCTTTTAAAATCAGCTCAGAAATATAAAGTTTGATGTAGGGCTGGACGATACGACCAACAAATAATATTGATATAGTTATATATCAATATTCTGAGATCTCCTCTGAATTACTGCAGACTGCTAAAACACTAAACTACTAGATAGACTACTGTAAAAATAAAGTTAATCAAAGTACTGGTATAATAGAGTTCAAGTTTTATTATCGTACGGTAGAAAGTTATAATAAGGTAAAAATAGAGTACTGTACTGTTATAATGAAGATAAATAAAGTAATGTTATAATAATTTTAAATAAAGTACATGAGCGCTCATTGATAGGATTGATAGGGTACTTTATTTAATTGTTATAATTAGGTTAAGTATTGTAATAACAAAATTACTACTTATAATTGAGTAAAAGTAAAGTACTGTTTTAATAAAGTCAAATAAAGTTTTAATAAAAAATAAAATACTGTTTTAATAAAGTCAAATAAAGTTTTAATAAAAATAAAATACTGTTTTAATAGAGTCAAATACTGTTTTAATAAATCAAATAAAGTACTGTTTTAATAGAGTCAAATAAAGTTTTAATAAGGTCAAATAAAATACTGTTTTAATAGAGTCAAATACTGTTTTAATAGTCAAATAAAGTTTTAATAAAAAATAAAATACTGTTTTAATAGAGTCAAATGAAGTTTTAATAAAAAATAAAATACTGTTTCAATAGAGTCAAATATTGTTTTAATAAATCAAATAAAGTACTGTTTTAATAGAGTCAAATAAAGTTTTAATAAGGTCAAATAAAATACTGTTTTAATAGAGTCAAATACTGTTTTAATAAATCAAATAAAGTACTGTTTTAATAGAGTCAAATAAAGTTTTAATAAGGTCAAATAAAATACTGTTTTAATAGAGTCAAATACTGTTTTAATAAATCAAATAAAGTACTGTTTTAATAGAGTCAAATAAAGTTTTAATAAGGTCAAATAAAATACTGTTTTAATAGAGTCAAATACTGTTTTAATAAATCAAATAAAGTACTGTTTTAATAGAGTCAAATAAAGTTTTAATAAGGTCAAATAAAATACTGTTTTAATAGAGTCAAATACTGTTTTAATAAATCAAATAAAGTACTGTTTTAATAGAGTCAAATAAAGTTTTAATAAGGTCAAATAAAATACTGTTTTAATAGAGTCAAATACTGTTTTAATAAATCAAATAAAGTACTGTTTTAATAGAGTCAAATAAAGTTTTAATAAGGTCAAATAAAATACTGTTTTAATAGTCAAATAAAGTTTTAATAAAAAATAAAATACTGTTTTAATAGTCAAATAAAGTTTTAATAAAGTCAAATAAATAATGTTTTAATAGAGTCAAATAAAGTTTTAATAAAGTCAAACAAAATACTGTTTTAATAGAGTCAAATAAAGTTTTAATAAAAAATAAAATACTGTTTTAATAGAGTCAAATACTGTTTTAATAGAGTCAAACAAAATAAAGTTTTAATAGAGTCAAACAAAGTACTGTTTTAATAGAGTCAAATAAAGTACTGTTTCAATAAAGATAAACAACACATTGCTGACTGTTTAAATGAAGTTAAATCAAGTTCTTTTTAAACAGAGTTAAAACAGTTATGATAAAGTTCAGTCGTCAGTATTGAGCCACACTTGGCGCTCTGTGGTGAAACTTTATGGCGTGAGGAGGAGAGTCAGACAGAAGTTGACAGACAGGCCCGTCTACGCTGACTGACTGACTGACTGACTGATGATTTGTGGGTAATGAAGTCCTCAGTGAGCTCACATCAAAGCACCTGTCGGCTCACCTGTGTGTCCGCAGTGTCGCGGTTTTCCAGCCCCAGACTGACGCCGCGGCTGAGCAGGAAGCGGGCTCTGTCCATCTCGCCGCTGTCGGACGCCAGCATCGACCTCCAGACCATGATCCGCACCTCGCCCAACTCGCTGGTCGCCTACATCAACAACTCGCGCTCCAGCTCGGCCGCCAGCAGCTCCTACGGACACCTGTCTGTCGGAGGACTCAGGTAAATCACCTCATACCTCCTTCTGTGCTTCCTACTTTTCTTTTACCTTCTCTTCCTCCTTATTTCCTTCTTTACCTCCTTATTTGTCTCCTTATCACCTCTTTCCTCTCCTGCCTCCTTGTGTCCTAGCCCTTAATTATTTCCACAACACAGTGTTTCCTTTCTTGCCATGTTCCTTCCTAGCTTCCTTTCCTACTTTAACCTTTTTACTTTCCTTTTTCCTTACCCCTGTTCCTTCACTATCCTATCCTCCCTTTTATGTCCCCTGGCTTCTCCTTTCCTTCTCTACCTCCTCATTAGGTTCCTTAACGTATAATTTCCTTCCTTACAGCTTTGATTTGTCCCCTACCTCCTAATTTCCTCTCCTACCTCCTTGTTTGCCTGCCTACATCCTCATTTTCTTCCCTTTCCCTCTTCTTCTCTTCCATACCTCCTACTTGCACTTTTTCTCTTCTACTTTCCTGTTTCCTTTCTCTACCTCTTCATCTCCTTTCAAACCTCCTCCTTTTGTCCCCTACCTCCTTATTTTATTCCCTACCTCCTTGTTTCCTTTCCTACATCTGTATACCCTTCAGTAGCCTCTTTTTTTCTTTCATGCCTCCTACGTCCTCCTTTCCTTCTCTTTCTTTCCTTTTCCTCATCTCCGGTTTGTTCCCTACCTCCTAATTTCCTTCCCCATGTCCTTGTTTTCCTCCCTACTTCCCTATTCCCTTTCCTCCCCTCTTCTTTCCCTCCCTACCTCCTACTTTCTCTTTTCCTTCTCTACTTCTTTTTCCCCTTCTCTTCCTCCTCATTTCTCCCCAACCTCCCATTTCTTTTCATACCTCCTCCTTTCCTCCCCATACCTCCTAATTTCCATCCTCATCTAACTTCCTTCATCACCTCCTTCTCTTCCTCCTACATCCTCGTTTCCTTCTCTAACTTCCTCTTTTCTTTCATACCTCCATCTCTCTCCCCTTTCCTTCGCTGCTCACCATTTGTTCACACCTCCTACATCCTTACTTCCTCCTCAACCTCTGTTTTTTCCTTCTACAACATCTTTGTTTTGTTCCCTATCTCCTAATTTCCTTTCCCAACATCTTCCCATCTTTCATACCTCCTACTTCCTCGTTTCCTTCTCTAATTTCTTTTCTTTGTTTTGTTTCTTTGTATTGTTTCCTGTCTCCTAATTTCCTTCCCTAACTCTTTTGTCTTTCCTTGTATGCAGTTACTTCATCTCAGTTCCCTCTTCTTTCCTTCCCTTCCTCCTATTCTCTTTCCTACTCTCTCCTTTCCTTCTGTACTTCCCTTTCCTCCTCTTATTTCCCCCTCATTTCTCCCCTGACCTCCTGCTTCCTTTCCCATGTCCTTGTTCCCTTCCCTACCTCCTACTTTCCCTTTTCCTTCTGTACCTCCTAATTTATTTCCCAAACTCCAACTTCCTTCCCTACCTCCTTGTTTGCCTTTCTGCATCCTCATTTCCTTTCTTAGCCTCTTCCTGTTCTTCATACTTCCTTTCCTTATCTACTTCCCGTTCTTTTCCCCACATCTTTGTTTTGTTCCCTACCTCCTAATCTCTTTCCTCACCTCCTTGTTTTCCCCACCTAGCAGCTTCTTCTCTTTCATACTGTACCTCCTACGTTCTCCTTTCCTTCTCTACTTCCTTTTCCCCTTCTCTGCCTCCTTCATGTCCGCACTGCTTCCTTATTTAACCCCAGTCACACATGTCGGACTGATATGAACTTAATCATCATGTTTTTGTTCCCTGCAGCCCGTCCTTCCCGTTCCCTCACCCCATCAACCCCATGGCGTACCAGCAGCTCCTCTCCCAGCAGCGGGGGCTCAGCGCCTTCGGACACACCCCGCCCCTCATCCAGCCTCCGCCCACTTTCTCCAGCCGCCAGCCGGGCCTCGGCCTCTGCTCGCTGCCTGGCTCCGCCCACAACAGCGACCTGCCGTCCAAAGTAAAGAGACAAACATGTTCAACACTTTATGTTAATGCATTTCATCATGTGTTTGTTTCCAGTGCAAATTTTCTCAAAATCCATTTCTCTAAAATCAAATTATCTATTCTACGCCGTTAATAAAAAATAAATGAAAAAAATTTAAATTTCAAGGCAAAAAGCTTTTCACAGAATTTTAGAGGTTAATTTGATTTTTGAGATTTTTGACAGTGTTGTGCAGCAACGTTTTGTTTCAAGATACAACAATATAATAATAATTATTAATAATAATATTATTATTTTAGAAAAAATGAAATTAATATCTTTTTAGAAACAGGTTTAGATACTTTGAGTTTTTCTTTTTTTTTTCAGAGAAATTGAATATTTGAATTGTTATTTTTTTAAACAGGTTTTTATTTATTTTTTTGTGATTTTTTTGTATCACAAAAAATTGAAGCTCATGTCTTTTAGGAACAGGTTTAGAGATTCTGATTTTTTTTTTTATTTGTTTTTTTTTTAAAAAAAATTGAAGTTATGTTATTTTTTATTATAATTTTATTTTATTATTATTTTCTTTATTTTATTTTATTTTAGTTTTTGTTTTTATTAAAATTATTTTTTGTGTTTAGAAAAATTGAAGTCAATGTCTATTAGGAACAAGTTAAGATATTAGAGTTTTAATTTTTTTTTAAAGAAAAACTGAACAGGTTCAAATATTTTTATTTATTTGTTATTATTATTTTATTTTCTTATATTTTTTATAGTTAGTAAAAGTGAAGTTAAGGTTTGTTAGGACCAGATTTAGTTGGTTTTGTTTTTTTAGTAGAAGATTGCAGCTTTTTAGGAATCACGTATGGACGCAATGACTTGATCTGCTGGAGCGTTTACAGACTCCTGTTCAGATGATTTGAGATTTAACTCTCTGAGGTCTGTGCGGATGAATCAGCGCTCTCACTGTAACTCTGATTGTTCCTCTGGAGGAACTCCCCCCTCGTTGCCCTGCAGGTATTTCTCACTGGCAACAACTATTTAGCCAAAGCAGGAATTTAACTGCTTCAGTTTCCAACTGTTGAGTTTTTATTTTCCATCGTCCCCTCTGATGTCGGCGTTATCGTCACAGTGTTTAGATCTGCGGTGTCAGCACATGTAATCAGTGTGAGCAGCGTCCCCTCGGAGGTAAACGTTGGGTGGGGGGGTGCACAGTCCAAACTTTTCTCTCTCATGCTGTCAGCGAGTGGAAGAATCTGTGACTCAGCCTGAAATTACAGATGTGTGTGAGAGGTCAGCGAGTGCATGGGAAGACACGCATCATCCGGACTGGTTCTACTGGTCCATCTCCGTCAAATCATAAAATTAATTCACCACCAGAGTTCATCACATATGTCTGAATCTTTTCTTTCCTCTCTGCAGAACCACAGCGGTGACTCAGCCGTCAGCAGCACAGTTGACCCCATGATCACCAAAAGGTCAAAGGTCAAGTCCGAAGGAGAGGGACTGAGGCCGTTGTCTCCGTGTTCACCGGTATGAAAACAAAAACCCACCTACACCACAGATTCAAATTCATCTGCTTTTATTTGAAGTTCTTATTCTACTGAATTTTGCAGCAATATGAACAGAAACAGACGGTCTGAATGTTCTCAGGATAAAATGTGACCTTTTATTAACGAACACTCTGTAACATATTAATTATGTCACTTATTTCCTCACATAAAACCTCGAGACGGCCAGTGGTGCAAAATTCTGTCATTTTGTAAAGGAAGGTTTGTTACATAACTTCAGATCCTAGTTATGAAAATGTAAAATAATAGCAGTATTCAGAATTGCCGTAGTAAAAGTTGCTCTCACCTGATAAAGACATTGAGACACAGTTGGGATAATTTGAGGACATTTTTTGGGAAACTTTCTGAAATGCAGACATTTTGAAAAGTGGGGACATTTTGCAAGATCAGCAAAAACTTTGGACATGTTTCCTAAGTCGGGAATTTTTGGAGAGTGAAGACAGTTTTAGAAAGTCCAAGCATTGTTAGAATAGGAAGACATTTTTGGAAAGTCCAAATACTTTTGGATAGTGAGGACATTTTTTGGAAAGTCTAAAAAAATGGAAGATGTAGATAGTTTTTGGAATGTCAGATCATTTTCGGAAATTGTGGACATTTCTTGAAAAATCGAGAAACTTTTGAAAGAGAAGTCCTGGAGAGTTTGAGCACTGTTAGAAAACGAGGACAATTTTGGAAAGTCAAAACATTTTTGGAGACTGTGGACATTTCTTCAAAAACCTAGACATTTTGGCAAGTGAAGACAGAGTTAGAAAGTCAGGGTACCATTATTTGAGGACATTTTTTGGAAGGTCAGAAAAAGTGTACATTTTTGGAAAGTGTAGGCAGTTTTTAGAAAGTCCAAATACTTTTGGAGAGTGAGGACATTTTTTTTTTTGTTTTGGAGAGTCTAAAAAAATGGAAGATGTAGATAGTTTTTGGAAAGTCAGAACATTTTTGGAAAGTGTGGACATTTCTTGAAAAATCAAGAAACTTTTGAAAGAGAAGACCGTCTTGGAGAGTTTGAGCACTGTTAGAAAACAAGGACAGTTTTGAAAAGTCACAACATTTTTGGAGACTGTGGACATTTCTTCAAAAACTGAGACATTTTGGCAAGGGAAGACAGTTTTAGAAAGTCAGGGTACTGTACAATTTGAGGACATTTTTTGGAAGTTCAGAAAAAGTGGAAAGTAAGCAGTTTTTGGAAAATTGAGATGTTTGGGAAGTCAGTACCCTTGAAAAGTTTGGATGTTTATTAAGACACTGGACATTTCTTGAAAAATCAAGGAATTTTGGCAAGTGAAGACAGTTTTGGAAAGTTGGGGTACTGTAAAAAATTTGAGGACATTTTTTGGAAGGTCAGAAAAAAATGAATTTTTTGGAAAGTAAGCACAGTTTTTTTGAAAAATCAAGATATTTTGGAAAGTGTAGGCAGTTTTTTTAAAAAATGTCCGGGCCTTGTTAGAATATAAGGACACTTAGAAAATCAAAACATGTTTGAAAAGCGAGAACAGTTTTTGGAAAGTCGGGATGTTTTGGAAAGTTGGGATAATATTTTGGAAATTGAGGACTTTTTGAAAGTCAGGACATTTTTTGACAGTGTGGGCATTTATTGAAAAAATCAAGACATTTTGGAAAGTGAAGGACGTTTTAGAAAGTCAGGGTACTGAGAGTTTTTTTCTGAAGGTCAAAAAAGTGGAAAGTAAGCAGTTTTTGGAAAGTTAAGACATTTTTTATGAAACTGTGGACATTTCTTGAAATTCAAGACATTTTGTAAAGTGAAGACAATTTTTCAAAGTCAGAGCATTGGCAGGATATGAGGACATTTTTGGAAAGTGACAATAGTTTTTGAAAAGGTGGGACATTTTTTGGAAATGAGACATCTCTTTAAAACTTAACGTTTTTAAAGCAGTTCAGTTTTGATATTTTCGTGATTCAAAACATTTTGTAAAGTCAGGACATTTTTGGGATAACAAAGACATTTTGAGAAACGTTGACCTCCTGTTTGTCTTTTCCCACCACCCCTTCCCTAAGTCGTGATCCATGGTGTGACTGGTGGCCCCTGGGAGCCGCAGCCTCCCGTGACCCCCTTGTAAAGCGTGAAAAACTCCACATGATAAGAGCTTTGTATGCGTTCGTTTGGTGGCTCCGGGGCCCCTCCTCTCCGCCGCTCCCCGGCCACTGTAAACTGTGCCACAGCACTTCATTTTCATGAAATATTGGCCGGGCTTTATTGTCATCTGAGGAGCCTTTTTCTCTTCTTTTGACAAATTTGCGGCTCCTCTCCGATAGCGAGGCAGGTTTGGGCTTGATGCATGGGGACGGCGGTGCGCGCAGTCGTCTTGGGGCCACCAGAATTGATGAAGATAGCGTGCGTGGGGCAGAGACAAACATGCTGCAGTCAGCACGTTGTATGTGTGTGTGTGGATGTGTGTGTGTGTGTGTGTGTGTTGGTGGAGGCGTACAGGAAGCCGGGTGGGACGAGCTGTGTGTCAGTTTCTGTCTCACACATGTATGTGTGCTCTCGAACAACTGTGTTTGTGAGGACAATTAGAGTTTTAGACACTGAGTGTGAGGACATTTCTGTTTCAGTAAAACAGACATTTAAACAAGTGACACTGTTGGAAAGTTTGAACACTTTGGGAAGTGGGGACACTTTTGGACAATTTAAGTAATGACATATAGAAGGAGCACAAATGTCTTTGGACAAATAAGGACATTTTTAAATGTGTGGACATTTTTGGAAGGTTGGAAAACCTGAGGGAAGTGAGGACTTTTTTAAAGTTTTAAAAAACATTCTAAGAAACAAAAGACTCTCAGAAAGTCAGGATGTAGAAAGTTAAGACGTTTTCAGAAACGCAGGGACATTGGGAACATGGGGACATTTTTGGATCGTTGGGATGACATTTCAAAAGTCAGTCACATTTCAGAGTGAAGACATTTTTGCAAACAGAGGACGTCTTGGAAAGTGAGAATTTTATTTTTTTTTGAGTGAGAACAATTCCGTCTCAGTAAAAGGGACTTTATGGAAAAAGACGACTTTTTAACAAATTTCATTTTTGGAAAGTTTTAACATTTTGTAAAGAGGAGACACTTTTGGATAATTTTGAAAAAAAATTAGGGCATTTGAGTAATGGCATGTAAGGAGAGCAGAAATGTCTTTGGGATATTGAGAAGGAACTTTGGACAATCAGGACATTCTTAGAAACTAAACTATCTCTGAGAGAGAGACAGAGAGAGAGAGAGAGAGAGAGAGACTTTCATACAAAATAAACATTTTGAAAATTGAGAGCCTTTTTGGAAAGTGAGGACATCTTTGGACATTTTCAGGTCGTTGGGATGACTTTACAGAGTGTAGACATTTTTGCAAGACAGAGGACACAAATCTGTCTTAGTAAAAGGGACTTCATGGAAAGAGAAGAAATTTTAAAAATTGACATTTTAGAAACGTTTGTACCATTGGGACATCTTGAGAAATGAAGACATTTAAGTAATGACATGTAACCGAAGCGCAAATGTCTTTGGAAAGTCTGGACGGTATTTTTGGACAACGACGAAATGTTTAAAATTGAGGATGTTTTTGGAAAATTGGAAAACTTGAGGAAAGTAAAGACTTTTTTTAGAGAGTGAGGACATTTTGGAAAGTGGGGACATTTTGGACCGTTGGGATGTAATTTTTAAAGTCAGAGTAACATTAGAGAATATATTTTTGAAAAAAAAAAGATTTTAATCATTGAGAGCATTTTTGAGAAGTCAGGACATTTTGGCAAGTGGGGACATATTTGGATCGTTGGGAAACTTGAGGGAAGTGAGGACGTTTTTTGGTGAGTGAGGGCATTTCCAGAAAGTGACAACATTCTTGGAAAACAAGGACATTCTTAGAACGTGAGACCTAGAAAGTTAAGACATTTTTAGACATTTAAGGACATTTAAAAAAAATTGAGACCATTTTTGGAAAGTGGGGATGTTTTTTGGAACATTGGAGTAACATTTTAAAAGTCAGGATACTATAACAGAATGAAGACATTTTTGCAACCTGGGGACACTTTTAGACAGTGGGACTATTTCTGAGAGTGAGCACAATTTGTAGAGCGTTAGAGCAACTCTGGAAAGTGAAAACTTTTTTGAAGTTGTGAGAGACATTTTGGAAACATGGGAATTTTTCTTGGAGTGAGTAATTTTAAAAGTCGCTCTTTCATTCTTTCAAAATTGAGAATATTTTTGGAATTTAAGATGTTTTGTAAAAAGCGAGGACATTTTTGGAAAAGTAAGAACAGTGTAGGATGTTTTTGGAAAGTTGGGGCTTTTTTGAAAGTGAGGAAACATTTTGAAAAGTGTGGACATTTTTCTGGTCCTGAGCTCTTCAAAGGGCTGTTTGAGATGATGAGGTGAATCAGGTTTATGATCAGCATTTTTTGTATGTTTTAGACTTTTTCAAGCAGAAATGTCCACCTGTGTCCTGACCTACAGACTTTGAGAGTGATCCCACTCTTCATCATTTTAAAAGGTCTGAACACAAAGATCAGGTCGAGGGACTCTGTGTTTGGCTCGTTAAGCTTCACGCTGCCTAATTACAGAGGAACCAGGAGCTGTAAACACAGGTCACGTGTCAGTTTGTGGTTCAGGTTGTCAAAACAAATCTGATTCCAGCCTCTTTAACTTCAGTGAAGCATGACGCTCTTCAATCTGTAATTTACTGTCTCTGGTGTCCGTGTCAGGTAAAACATACGAGCAAACAGCTGAATGCTGTAAACGCTTCCACATGTGCTCGCTGCAGACACGCCCTCAGAAGAAGACGAGTGTATCCGAGTCAACGTGGATCACTTAGAAGATAAATATCTTGTTTTAATTCCTTTAAAGAGTGTTTAGATACGTCTCTCTGCGCTCTCCTCAGAACCACCACGGCAGCTTGTTGGACCTGAAGGACGACGTGGATCGGGACGAATGTAAGCAGGAGCCCGAGGCCGTTTACGAGACCAACTGCCACTGGGAGGGCTGCATCAAAGAGTACGACACGCAAGACCAGCTGGTCCATGTAAGTGTGTGTGTGTGGGAACATTTATTTAACACTATTATTTATTGACTCTGGAAACATTCCGTTTTTCTAAGTGGGAAATTTCTTAAACTTCAAATATAGTTCAGCTTCACTCTGACCTTGTCACATATCGATGTTTGGTCATGGACTTTCGAAGTCCAAATATGACGTCCAAGGTTTTGATGTCTGTTTTCACAGGAAATGTACAGTTTGCTTTCAGTCTCTTTCAAAATAAAAGCACTTTGTCAGTGCAACACCGCAAATTGATGTTTTTTTGCCATCAACAACAAAAACATGTGGTTGGGTTGAGGCAACAAATGCATGAGTTGGACTGGGGCAACAAAAATGCGGGTTGGGCTCTGGCAACAAACCCTCCTTGTTGAGTTTAGGCAATAAAAACACATAGATGGGTCAAGGCAACAAAAAGACGTGGTTAGGTTTAGGCAACAAAATCAGGTTTGGTTTTATAATCTTACGGGACCCGAACACCAGCCACCCAGTTGAAAGTTGTCGTTTGTTGGACCCATCTTCCACCCCTCCTGCCTGCCCAACTTGGACTTTCGTCGCGTCCCTGCTGCCAGCGAGTGCCATAAACTATAACGGTGACCGGCCTCATATCATGCTGACGTTAAAGAACGACTTTTTCGTCAGTGTCTGACGCCGCAAGTCACTGCCCAAGCGTCGGATTTCACGGCTTCGGAGTGAGGCCGAGTTGTTATGCTTCATTTTACCTGTGACTATTAAAAATAAAGCCAATTTCCTCACATGTTTTCTCAAACTACTTCCTGTTCAAAGACATGCTTAGTGTTTATACTTATCAGGTCCTATTTAACCCAAATAGCTTGAAGAAATTGAAAATAAATACCTAACAAAACCTGGAGTCTCAGGAGGATATAACATTGGTCTAGTTCTTTTAAAACATTTTAATATTATGTCCTCAAACGACTGTTCCGAGACCAGCTGTGAGCAAACACTTAGAAACCTATAAGAAAGAATTCTCGCAGATGCACATTGAGTTTTCCAGCCATCGTGTCCCTAACCGTCTGACCTCCAAACCATCATCACTTTGCTTTTTCTCTCCATCACAACAAGCAGAGTCTTGGTGAAAAGCGTCTGAAACATTCCACACCTCCAGTGAAGCAGAGAGAGCAGAGAGGGGGGGATTAGTGAGGGTCACCTCACAGACGTATGGCATCTTCAAACGTCAGGGTTTCATCGCCAACATTGCTCTGAAGCTTTGAAGTGGTTCCTGTAAACAGATGAGACTGCGGTCGGCGGTGTTGTTGCAGAGCTATTGTCTCCTGCAAATTAAGACCACATTTCCCATAAACTCCAGAACTTCCTCTCGTCTCGTTGGTGGAGCGCCACCGAGCTTCTCTTTAATAATTAAGGATAAACATGTAAGGAATCTGTTTTCCATCCACATGGAGGAGCAGTTCTCTCTTCCTTTTTTTTGCGTTGTAGACATTGCCAGGTTTGTGTCTGTGCAGAGACCAAAACCTGAGTGTATCTGCAACCTGTGGAGGTGCTGCACATAAGCGTGTGCGGAGGGATACGCTGTTATCTGCTAAGAAATAGTTCCAGCATGCAACCTGCCTCCACCCTAGCTCCTCCTTTTCATGTTGTGTCTGACTTACAGTATCAATGTCATTTCTGTTTGTCATTGATGCTGCTCGGTTCTGTTCCTTCACTGCCTTATATCTTTACATGTAGGCGCGTGGAAGGGCAGGGAGGTTTGCTCTCTGTGTTTAGGATTACAAGGTCTATAAATCGGGGTATGACTAATATATGAACAAACCGTTCTGTTCAAACTGTCAGAATATAGACAGGAATTAAACTGGAAAATTTGGTGTATATAAGTGCTGCTGATGTAAAATCTTTGGTTTAGAGTTTAAGAAAAATCTCATTTTAAGATATCTTTGTAAAAACATTTTTAGACAAAAAAACAAGATAACAGTAAAAAAATGTAACTGACAGATGTCATCTTGAATCTCTTATTATTTTCTACATCACAAGATTTCCAGAAATTTTAACATTTAAATATGCAAAAACATGATCTGATTAAATATGAGCTGATTTGCATACATTTTCACAAAATTCCTGTTTCATTTTTTCTTCACATTACAGTCTCTTTTGATGTGAACAAACCCCTTCGTAAAATCCCTCAGAATGTAGATATGAATCAAACTGAAAAAACTTGGTGTGTATAAGTGCTACTGAAGTAAAATTTTGAAGTTTAAGAAAAAAATGATTTAAGAAAATATTCTTTGACAAAAAAATGACATAGCATCTGCAGTTTATAAGTTACTCTTTTTTCTAATGCAAGTTTTCTGATATTTGACATTTAAATATGCAAATGAGGCAATATCTAATCAAATAGCAACAGAAATCTGAACTAAAATAAACCTAAATGTGTATTATTTTTTCTTTCTTCTTTCTTGTCTGAAAGGAGCTATGTTATAGAAGCAAAACAGCCCTTAATCTCAAAGTTGACCAGTGCAATGGAGCGTGTTGCCCAAAAGACAAAATCTCCATCCTATCAAATAGTTTCTGTCAAAAACGGAGCTCTAAAAATTTAAATTTTTGTGACAAAATGATAAAAGAAATGGGTCACAATATTACATCAGGCCAGGAAACAGGACACAGAGAATTATTATGATAATAATAAACGTTAACTTGATTTTAAAAAATATATGAAACAAGTTAAAATATTTGCACGGAACAGGCAGATTTTGTGACTTGTTTAAAGAAAGAATGAGTCAAACTTTAACCGACCAATGATGAGAGAATATTTTATCTGACTCTTACAGTCGTCTTTCATTCAGCGTGATGTAAAGAATCTATGCAGCACTAATTAGTGAGACTGTAACACTGCTGCAGCCTCCCTCTGAGATTTACACCGACAAGATGGATCTCTACAGAAAGAACAACATGAGAGCCTCTTAGTGGACAACTCACTGCTTCTGTGTGTGTGCGTGTGTGTGTGTGTCCTGCAGCACATCAATAATGACCACATCCACGGAGAGAAGAAGGAGTTTGTGTGCCGCTGGGAGGACTGTTCGCGGGAGCAGAAACCCTTCAAAGCTCAGTACATGCTGGTGGTTCACATGCGCCGACACACAGGGGAGAAACCACACAAGTGCACGGTGAGTGCAACGGGTGGCCGCTGCGCCCTCCGGGGGCCCGTCGGTGGCCGCTCACATGCTCTGAACACCGAGCATGTTTCCACACACACACATGGACACATCTAGATTTTATATATAGCTGTGTTATCTGAGGTTTGTTTGTGTCAATAAGAATTAAAATACCTCGACGGTGCATTTATAACTGGATTCTTTTTGACATTACAGATGAAACGTTCTTTCAAAATCACAAATAAAAACTGGAACTGAAATATAAAAATCGGAGAAATAATGTTAAATGTGTAGATTTTAAAAAACAAAATAAAACGCCATTTTCAGTATTAATACATCTATGGAATCATTTCTGGAATAATTTATTATTTTGTCTACAAATTGTGATAAGAGTGATCTGATCGGTCCAGCAGCTTTTAAAGCACAAACATGGATGTTTTATAGCAAACTGTCACTGTCTTTTCAGCTGCTTTTTAAACATCAAAATAGATGATTTATAGCAAACTGTCACTGTTTTTCCAGCGTATTTTTAAGCACCGAACGCGGGTCTTTGTAGCAACCCATCACTGCTTTCCAGCTTTTCAATAAATTTTGACTTTCGTATAATACAACACTTTAGAGTTAACTGTTATTTGAAATGTTTGGATCACATCAGCTGTGCCGATGAGTCGATGATGAAGCTTGTGAACATAGTAGCTAAATCTGTCCTTGGAAAGAAAGATTTTTGCAGATATAACTACAACAAGATTGAGCTCAAAGGCAGTTTTGTGTTTATATGTCTTGTACTGGCACTCCCATCATCTCTACAAAGTGAAATTGGCTGGCGCACTCAACAGGGACTCTTCTTTAAGTGGTTATGAGGGTCGGTCTACTTGTTGGAGTTGTAAACTAGGTTTCATTACATAGCAGTCTACTGACAAGACTTGTATATCTACGGAAACTGAGATAAAACTGGCATAGAAACGTTTTATTTTGAAAGCTAACTGTCCCAAAATGTGAATGCATTTTGATTATATCTTTTATATTGTTGGTAACTGTTGTGTCATGGCAGTGCTCCACTCCAGAGTGCGCTTTACTGTCAGTATGGCACACAAGTGATGCAGCATATTGATTAAATAGTCCTCAAATGATGTCACAAAACAAACACCACTTCACAGTAAAACTGCCACCACAGGCTAACATTTCTTCTGTTCCTGTCTGTTCCTCTGCAGTTCGAAGGCTGCTCTAAGGCCTACTCCCGTCTGGAGAACCTAAAAACACACCTACGCTCGCACACCGGAGAGAAACCGTACGTCTGTGAGCACGAAGGATGCAACAAAGCCTTTTCAAACGCCTCTGACCGAGCCAAACACCAGAACCGGACACACTCCAATGAGGTAAACGAGTTCAGTTGACACACAAGCCGTGGCTGCTGTTGCTAGAAACACTTTTTCTCAGTGATCCTGTATTTAATAGTTGCGTGAAGCTCAAACCAGTCACTTTGTCACTGTTTTTCCAGCAGCTTTTTGGCACCAAACATGGATGTTTTGTAATGACTTGTCACTTTTTTCAAGCAGCTTTTAAGGGAACCAAATGTAGGTGTTTTGTAGCAACCAGTTGCTATTTTGGCACCAAACGTGGATGTTTTGTAGCGACCTGTCACTGTTTTTCAAGCAGCCTTTTAGATACGAAATATGGATGTTTTTAGTGGTGACATGCCACTGTTTTTAAGCAGCTTTTCAGGCACCAAATGTGGATGTTTTGTAGCAACCAGTTGGTATTTTCTAGTGGCTGTTTAGGCACTAAATGTGGATGTTTCATAGCAAACTGTCAGTTTTTCCAGCAGCTTTTTAGGCACCAAACATGGATGATTTGTAGAAAACTGTCACTGTTTTTAGATGGCGTATAACATAGTGTCTGTATGTTTCTATGTATCCATAGAAACCCTATGTATGTAAGATCCCCGGCTGTACCAAGCGCTACACAGACCCCAGCTCTCTCAGGAAGCACGTGAAGACGGTCCACGGCCCTGAGGCCCACGTCACCAAGAAGCAGCGCAGCGACCTGCCGCCGAGGCCGCCGGCGCCGAGAGAGAACGGCGAGAACGAGGCGGGTAACAGAGAGAGAATCCAGAGGGACGACAAGATATCAGACAACAGCTCCCCCAGAGGCATGGAGGACTACCTGCACGTCAAATCCATCAAGACTGAAAACTCTGTGGTAAGATCGCTTAGAAGTTCATTAACAGAGCTCTGTACTAACGACACTGAGTCTAACAGTATTAACTCCTGAGTTTAACAACAATACGCCTCTTTATTCTAACCTTCCCTCTGCTGGCTGCTTGATTGTCTCCATTTCTCTCCTTTTCTGACTTTCCTTATGGACAGACTTTGCTAAGGTGAGCTCACCTACAGCTTGTTAACACATCATTCACCATCTTTTTCATTTTACTCCATCAAAATTAACGGTTCATTCCAAAATGAGACCCTGATACACAAGTGGGTGAATACTGTCCCCAAAGAAAGTGATTCTTTGTTTGATTTTTGGGGGGAATCCACTTTTCTCCTGGGTTTAACAAAAGAAAATTTACATTTGAAGAAACAGGAGCTACAATAAATGACATTTTAACCATTAAAGCTAGGGGTGGCAGACATCTTGAAAAGGCAAAAACAACTAAAATACACCCTCCTCCTGCAGCTCCTACCTCTCTGTCCTTAGCCCTCCCGCCATACGACCACGGTAGAGCTCTTTCTCTGTTTATCAGACCACAAATAAGACAAGAATTAGCCGCTAGCCACACAAAGGTCCTCCATCTCACTCCCTGCCTCTGCGGACTGATTCCCCAGGAGTAGATGCATCAATCAACATCTGTAGCAGCTCAAATTCAATCAGTGCAAACCCCCCCAGCCCCAGGTGGACCAGAGCGCTGGTGGTCAGCAACAGTGCCAGGTCTAACCTGTGTAATGGCAGCAACAGAAAGTTTGCTTACCTGGCAGGGAGTCAGGGCTGTTCAGTCCATCAGAGGTGGAGTTTGCTGGCTGGATTAATGTTGCTGTGGCTGCTGACTCAGGATTTGTCTCTGGAGCTGCTGCCCAGTGGTGGGGAGTGAGGCGGAGGACACACTCAGTACGTTTAAATGCACAGTCAAGTCAAACTACAGCTGAAGCTCGACTACACCATTTGACTGGACTACTGTCCTTGTCCAAATATAAAACCCTTTTTCCTGTTGACCTATTACGTCACAGACCAAACAATGGACAAACAAGTTAGCTACGGTTAGCTAGCAGCTAACTGCTACCATGGTGGACAACTTTACAGTTCCGTTCAATTCGTCCGTCCAAAAAGTCACGGCTCTGGATGTAGATTTCATCACGTTGTTGCCGGCTACTTCTTCGGTGATACATTTAATGCTTTTAGGCTTTCGGGTCAAAGCCTGGGTCCGAAATTGTGGAGTATGCGCCAAGCGCCTCGACCAGTTTGGGTCTGATTGACTGCATACATGCAGGAGGAATTCGACTCCCAATGCAATGCCCTCTCTCTCTGAAATGACCTTTGATTGGACAAACTCTCCCGAAATCAGAGGCAAGAGGAGGTGCAGAAGTCTAGTTTCTCTCAGACCGCTTGAATTACAATATTATCAAAGGTAATAATGGGATGTTTGCCCAAAGATGCCAAAATTAAACTGCTCACCCCAGCTTTAAGGGAAAGAACGGAGTTAACTTTGCTTGTTAATATTGGAAAATATTTTGGAATCTTCTCAGATGAACTCACTTCATCATATCATCATCAGCTGCAGAAGGATTTTGTTGCATTGTTTTGTTAACTGAACAAACATTGGTTTATCTCTCCATTTTGGTCCCATGAAGTTGTTACCATATAACACTCATGCTGCATGCCATCTCTGATACCATGTGCATCACTCTCCCTTCTCACCGGCAGTGTAAACCTACAGTGGAGACCTATCAAACACCTGTCACAGAGCCTGAGCGTGATGAAAGCAGCTCCTGGATTAATATTCAAACAGTGGGAATTGGTTTTGGCGCTCTGTGCAAACAGTACCCAACCATCACGCTCTGATCAAGACAGCTTTTTAGCAGTGAATATATTAGACTCTGCGAGGGAACCCAGGGCCGATTCAGAGAGATACATGTCGCTGTTATTGTCCTAAACACGGAGATAATGTTGAACCAGATATTATAAATTAACATTTGAGTCCAGCCCTGTCGCCAGAGGAGAATCTTTGCAAACATACAACATTACATTTGTATGTTTCATATCAACCTTGCTAAAGTGATGTAGTATATGAGCTGACTCCTCCTGTGTCGCCAGCCAAGCTGCAGACGACTGTTTGAGACCAACAAACACAAAAGTCTTCTAGGAGCTTTTTAGTCACCAAATGTGGATGTTTTATAGCAAACTGGCTGTTTTTCCACCGGGGATGGTGCCACGATAAGTAGGTGTGTTACCGACACGTAAATGTATTTCCTGTCAGGATAGTGCCACGAAAAGCAGGTGTTTCTTTGCGGAGATATCGCTGTGTTTCTTACTGGGATAGCGCCTCGAAAAGGTGTTCTTTTTTATCAAGACATTGCTGCGTTTCATGCCGGGCTAGTGCCACGAAAAGCGATTTCTTTCTTATTAAGACATCACTGCCTTTCCTGCCGGGATAGTGCCAGGAAATGCGGTTGTTTTTTAACAAGACATTGCTGCGTTTCCTGCCGAGATAGCGGTATAAAAAGTAGTTGTTCTTTACAGAGAAATCACTACGTTTCCTGCCGGGCTAGTGCCACAAAAGCGGTTGGTCTGCTGTGATAGTGCCATGAAAACCAACAGTTCTTAACTGAGGAATCGCTGCATTTCCTGCAGGGATAAAACTACGAAAAGAGGTTGTTTTTTTATCAAGGCATCGCTGTGTTTCCTGCGGGATAGCACCACAAAAAGTGGTTGTTTTTTATGAGACATTGGTGTGTTTCCTTCCAGGATAGTGCCACAAAAGGTGGGTGTTTTTAATTGAGACACTGTAGCACTTCCTGTCAGGATGGTGCCAAGAAAAGTTGTTGTTTTCACTGAGACATTGCTGCATTTCCAGCGAGATTAGTGCTACCAAAAGCGGGTACTTGAAGCCTAAAATATGATCTTTTGCTAATGATGATCGTATTTTCTTTTTGCCGAAACATAACCACACGTTCACCACAGCGTTGTTAAAATGTAAAGCGTCAGCTTATCCTGCTGCATATTAAAGTACAAATGTAAAGTATCTGTGGTTTGCAGAAACATACAATGCAACAATTCTTTGGCGATTGTGTTCTCGAGTCCTGAGGTGAAATATAAGTGAGTTCTTTTGAAAACTAAGAAACAAAGAAAAAGAACTCAAAGTTGTGCAGGTGACAGAGAGACTGTAACTGAAACGAGTCAGCGTGAGAGCAAAGCTTCTTGCTCACCTAAAGACTCAGAAAGCCTCCACAGTTGAGTTTTTGGTGATCACATCTCGTCATGATTGGCCTGGCGCTCTGGCTCGGGCTCAAGCTGCCTTTCATCCTGCCCATTTCTAATTCACAGACAGACTAAGACAGTCTGTAATCTGTGGCGCACCCCCCCACCTCTCCACCCCATCCCCAAAAAACACTCATTATTTACAATTAAGCTGGGGGAGGATAAAAGATTCAGTGATTCACTGTTCGTGGTGCCATGTTAACCACTGCTCCACTTCTGTTAGGAAAAACTGTTTTCAGGACAAACATGCTGCTTCTCTCACGCTCCTTTTATCTTCCTCACTCTCCCTCTGCATTCCCATCACTCCTTCCTCTTCCCTCCATCCACCTCTTCCTCTAGATGTATCAGTCCAGCCCTGGCGGTCAGTCATCATGTAGCAGCGAACCATCACCACTTGGCAGTGCCACCAACAATGACAGTGGAGTAGAAACGGCGGCGCACAGCGGGGGGAGCCTGGGGGACCTCAGCACCCTGGACGACCTGCCCTTCGTGGAGTCCTTGAGCTGTGAAGATTCCGCCGGCGGGGTCGCGGTGGTGGGTCTCCACCTCCGAAAGCAGTTCGGCGCCAGCCAGCGTCTGGAGCATCTGAAGAAGGAGAAGCTGAAGACGGTGAGGGACTCGTGCCGCTGGGCCAGCAACACAACACCCGTGGTCCTCGGCACTAAGCTCCCACCCATACCGGCAAGCGGTGAGTAGAAACGCATTTTTACGAGGCATGCACATGGTTTAAGCAACACACGCACGTGGTTACTGTTAGCCAACAAACGTATGTGGTTACATTTAGCCAACACACAAACATGTATACGTTTATGCAACACACATAAATGTGGTTATGTTTAGGTAACTAACACATGTGGTTCCATTTAGCTAACTAACACGTGGTTATGTTTAGCTAACTAACACATGTGGTTCCGTTTAGCTAACTAACATGTGGTTATGTTTAGCTAACTAACACATGTGGTTCCGTTTAGCTAACTAACATGTGGTTATGTTTAGCTAACTAACACATGTGGTTCCGTTTAGCTAACTAACACGTGGTTATGTTTAGCTAACTAACACATGTGGTTCCGTTTAGCTAACTAACATGTGGTTATGTTTAGCTAACTAACACATGTGGTTCCGTTTAGCTAACTAACATGTGGTTATGTTTAGCTAACTAACACATGTGGTTCCGTTTAGCTAACTAACACGTGGTTATGTTTAGCTAACTAACACATGTGGTTCCGTTTAGCTAACTAACATGTGGTTATGTTTAGCTAACTAACACATGTGGTTCCGTTTAGCTAACTAACACGTGGTTATGTTTAGCTAACTAACACATGTGGTTCCGTTTAGCTAACTAACACGTGGTTATGTTTAGCTAACTAACACATGTGGTTCCGTTTAGCTAACTAACACGTGGTTATGTTTAGCTAACTAACACATGTGGTTCCGTTTAGCTAACTAACATGTGGTTATGTTTAGCTAACTAACACATGTGGTTCCGTTTAGCTAACTAACATGTGGTTATGTTTAGCTAACTAACACATGTGGTTCCGTTTAGCTAACTAACACGTGGTTATGTTTAGCTAACTAACACATGTGGTTCCGTTTAGCTAACTAACACGTGGTTATGTTTAGCTAACTAACACATGTGGTTCCGTTTAGCTAACTAACACGTGGTTATGTTTAGCTAACTAACACATGTGGTTCCGTTTAGCTAACTAACACGTGGTTATGTTTAGCTAACTAACACATGTGGTTCCGTTTAGCTAACTAACACGTGGTTATGTTTAGCTAACTAACACATGTGGTTCCGTTTAGCTAACTAACATGTGGTTATGTTTAGCTAACTAACACATGTGGTTCCGTTTAGCTAACTAACATGTGGTTATGTTTAGCTAACTAACACATGTGGTTCCGTTTAGCTAACTAACATGTGGTTATGTTTAGCTAACTAACACATGTGGTTCCGTTTAGCTAACTAACATGTGGTTATGTTTAGCTAACTAACACATGTGGTTCCGTTTAGCTAACTAACATGTGGTTATGTTTAGCTAACTAACACATGTGGTTCCGTTTAGCTAACTAACATGTGGTTATGTTTAGCTAACTAACACATGTGGTTCCGTTTAGCTAACTAACATGTGGTTGTGTTTAGCTAACTAACACACGTGGTTATGTTTAGCTAACTAACACATGTGGTTCCGTTTAGCTAACTAATGCGTGGTTATGTTTAGCTAACTAACACACGTGGTTATGTTTAGCTAACTAACATGTGGTTATGTTTAGCTAACTAACACACGTGGTTCCGTTTAGCTAACTAACACACGTGGTTATGTTTAGGAAAAAAGAACAGAGTTTGGGTTTACAATCTTGTAGGAAGCAAAAACTGGCCTCCAGGGTGAAAGCGGGTGGTTGTTGGACACATCCACCACCCCTATCACCTGCCCTACTCGGACTTTAAGACCCTTAACTTTTGAACTTTTGGCTCTCCCTGACGCCTTTAATCTGTAACAGCAACCAGTCGCATAAAAATGCTTTGTCCAACACTTATCTAACACTTTCTTCCGTTCATTCACAGGGTCCCTCTTGGAGAGTCCAAGTATGGGTGGTGGTCCGGCGTCCTTCCCTGGTTCCGGCTTTGGTAATCTGAGCTCTGGTAAAACGACTCTGCTGGAAAACCTTTCCGAGCGCCGTGACAGCACCTCCAGCACCCTGAGCTCAGTTTATACCCTCAGCCGCCGCTCCTCAGGCATCTCCCCTTGCTACTCCAGTCGGCGCTCCAGCCAGGCCTCGCAGTTCGGTGCCAACCGCCCCAGCAACCTTAGCTCCGCTGACTCCTACGACCCCATCTCCGCCGACATGTCCCGGCGCTCCAGTCAGGCCAGCCAGTGTGGGGGAGGCAGCGGAGGAGCAGGAGGGTGCAGAGGAGGGGGTTTCCCCAGCCCTCTCAGCCTGACCCCGGCCCAGCACTACCGCCTCAAGGCGAAATACGCTGCTGCCACTGGAGGTGCGCCACCTACACCTCTTCCATACATGGAGCGAATGTGTCTTAAGACCCACGCAGCACTGTGCGGGGACTCCCAGGAATCCTCCACCACCAACCAGCCTTCCAGGCAGTACAGCAGCTATGCCACACGGAGCCTGATGCCCCATGAGGTCCCGTCACACATCCCCCGCAGAGCCAGTGACCCCGTAAGACGCGTGGCCATAGATTATCCCAGCCAGCCACAAATGCAGCGCTACAACAGCATGGGCACACTGAGTGGAGGGGTGACCATGCAGCCCCATCCACCTCCTGCAGCACATCTATTCCAGCAAGGCTGCCTGCGACCGGATGGTAGTCCCCACCACTACCCTTACAGCCTGCGACCGCCCAGCATCTCAGAAAACGCCCCCATGGGGATGATAACGGACGACATCCCTGAAGAGGACCTGATGCTGCCTGATCTCAGCACTGACAACAGAGCGTCAACAAATCAAGATTTCCAAGGAAACCCTAATCTGCAGCATCAGTCGTACTTTCAGAGAAGGATGGCTGTCATGAACATGAACCTGCCTAGTCAGGTTTTAGCCCCCTCCAGCATGAGTCCAGGGCAGCAACGACAGATGTGTCCGTCTTCACCAAGGGACAGTAAGGCCAAAGTACTTCCTCAGTGGAACAAAGTCTCTTTGGGACCCACAGATGCGAGCCAGCACTACTTCAAACCTCAGGTCCGAGGGAACCTGGCTGTCCTCCAGCAAAACCAGAACTTTGGATCTCTTCACAACGATCTCAGATCCAACCAGCAGATGATCCAAAACCTTGTCAACACAACACAGCAGAGATGCAAACAATTGAATACCGAAGCAACCTGCGTCCAGCAGCAGAGACTCCAGCAGTTGTCAAATCTGAATGAAGCACTCGGCTCTCAGTACAGCTTCAACAGTCCTTACGATAAGAACGGTAACTCCACTTATCCACCTTGTAACAACGCAGCAGCAGTCAGGGGGGACATGCTGAGCCCCACATGCAAACAGGAGCCGGCGGACATGCACTTTGCTGATGCTGGATTTCAGCCTGTGCAAGTAAAAACAGAGGAAGGATCGGTCGTGATTTCAGAGCAGCACAACTGTAACATGAATCCCTTGCAAACTGGGAGCCACCTCCAGCCGATGCCGCCGACAGAGCTTCCGAGCAGGCACCTACCAGGGCCGAAGAGGATGCACCAAACGAGGAACCCAAGCACCCCAGATGTTGCCTCCAAACTACCCAGCGGTGGAGTTTTAGGACTTCACTGCAGCAACAACTCTGACGACAATGCCCTGTACTACACAGGGCAGATTCAAGTATTTGAGCCCAACGGGAACTTGGACCATCACGTGGTGAATGTACCTCCTTTTGAGAACAATGTAGTGTCTCAGAGTCCAGGCAACAACCCGACACCAAGGACTGTAGACTGTACCGCAGTGCTGGAGCAGGCGCAGATAGACTTTGAAAGCATGCTGGACGATGGGGATCACTCCAGCCTCGTGTCAGGAACCCTGAGTCCAGGTCTGCTCCAGAGCCTGTCCCAGAGCTCCTCTCGCCTCACTACACCCAGGAACTCGGTGACGCTGCCCTCGGTGCCAGCGGGGACGGGGAACATGGCCATCGGGGACATGAGCTCGTTGCTGACCGCTCTGGCAGAGGAGAGCAAGTTCCTCAACTCGATGTCGTAGCAAACTGTCTTTGAACTCCTGATGCACGATAAACATTCAACCAACTTAACGTTGACTGTGTGTGCGCCAAAAAGCCTCTGCAGTGTGTGACGCTTGTTTCTTGTACAGTCTCATTATTTAAATGGCAGTTTTCTATTGTTTTTGAAAGCCATATTTCTGTTTTTGTTTTTGCCTTAGCGAGTAAATATGATGTAAACAACAGAAGTCTTTCAGTTGTTGTACAGGTCTGCAGTGAGAACCGTTTACTAAGTGCCTGGCTCAGCCAAAACTACGTGTAAATGCAACCTGCGTATCTGGAATGTACCATCGCCACCGACTTGTTTCACACTGTAAATGACTCGAGCTGAACTTTGATATCAAGTCGCTCATATGTGCTGGAGGAGAATCGTCTTCTCTCCCTCGTCACAGCCGCTGATGAACTGTGACGTCTCAGTCGGGCTGCACGGACTTGATTTGTGACTGAATTATGAGCCCATGCAGAAATCTGAGAATAAAGAATCAAGCTTTTTTTTCCTTTTGTACATCGTTGTACCAGTGTGTCGTGCTGGTTGAATGTAAATATCATTTGTACATTTTTAAGAAATACAATATTGACTGATTTTTTTAAACAAATACTGTTTGTGTTGTTCTTCATGATGTTTCTGAGGTTTCAGATTTCTCCAGAAGAGGATCAGAAAGGTTTGAGAACAAGTGAACGGCAAAATATGTTGTTTCTTTTTGCTCTCGAACTGTGACAGTCACATGACTGTTTCCTGATCTGCCACACCGTTGCCTGAAGTTTGGTTTGGTTTAAACGACTAGACCTGATTAGGGTTAAGGAAAGATCCTGGTTTCATGTTGTCGCCATGGCTAAAAGAAGAACTACGAACGATCCAGGTAAAATAAAGCTTTGACAGTTAGTGGCAACTTGTATGTTTCATACTATGCATATCATATCAACATTTCTAACTCACAAGACAGGTACCTCTCCTGCCAACCAATGTCTAGCTGCGGACCATGAAAAAGGTTGTTTTTACCAAGACATTGCTCCACTTCCTGTCGGAATAGTGGCACAAAAAGCGATTGTTCATTGGTTGTTCTTTACCGAGACATCGCTGTGTTTCCTGCCAAGACAGTGCCACGTAAAGTGGTAGATTTTTACGAAGACTTCGCTGTGTATCTTACTGCCAGGGTAGTGCCACAAAAGCACCTATTTTTAATGGAAGCATTGCTGCATTTCCTGTCAGTATGGTGCCAGGAAATATGTTGTTTCTGACTAAATATTACTGCGTCTTCTGCAGGGATAGCGCCAAGAACGTCACTAATTTTCCAGCAGGGATTGTGTCCCCCAAATCAGGTATTTTCAGCCAAAACATGATCCTTTTCTAACCATAACCAAGTGTTTTTTTTGCCTAAATCGAACCACTTGTTAACCACAGTGTTGTTGATATGTGAAGTTTAAACGTAGCAAGACGTCGCTGTTTCTTGACGGAATCGTGACATGAAAAGTGGCTGTTTTTCTTCAAGACAACACTTTTGCATTTTCTTCCTAATAACACAGAAATGCTTCGTATTTGTGGTTTGCAGAAACGTTCAATGCCAACATTTTTTCCGGCCAAAGGGTTGGTATCAAAATCACTGTTTATATGAACCACAGCTTCCTCAGCCTGCAGGGTTGTGCAGCACTATAACAAAACTACATGGGGCTCCTCCCTCTTACTGAAGGCACATGTCCACAAGAGCTCATTTCCAGTTCCAGCCTCTGAAATGTGAAGATTATTCTCATATGTGAAATTACACTGAATATTTTGGGGTTTAGACAGTAGGTCGGACAGAACAAGACACCTGATGAAAATCATGAAAAGCATGTTTGATGTTTCAGAGACCGACCTGAGTCTGAGCCGTGCATACGTCTTATTGAAGCATTTAAACAAATGGCTGACGTGCTTCTTTCTTGCAGAGAAAGTCTCCAAAGTGACGGCTAACTGCTGCATGTGAAAGAAATGAACTTCATTCTGTATTAGATACATTTACACAAACAGAATCCAGCTCTGGAGCCGAGCGCTTCCCTGAACATGAACATGAAGTAACTCAGCCGCGGCGTGTTCTCTAACACGTGCTGTCATCTCCTGCTTCTGGTTGTAACTGCGTAAATATTAGTATTCATCAGTCCGTCCCTTGATTGCTTCCTGTAGGAGGAGGAGTGTTGATCGCTTCAATAATTCAACAACAAAACTTTGGTCTTTGAAGCCACGCTGCTGCACCCTCTGCCGACAACGCACTTTCCTCAAACCTTCCTTGTCAGGCCGCCACACATTCTGAAGATGCTGCACGACCCCTTTGAAATAACTTCCCTCTGACCTCGTCTTACCTTGCCGGCAAGAGCAGGCTTGACATAATGTAAATCCTCACTCGGAGGCTGATGAAAAAGGACGCTAACAGGAGGGGAAAAGGCGAGACGCGTGCTGCTGCTGCAGTTAGCCTGTGTGTACTTCAATATTAGCTCTGACAGAGCGGCCCAGAGGACGCAGCTGCTGAAACCACATAAAACAAAGCAGCCGAGAGAAGCGGGAGGTTCCGGGGACGCAGCGCTGAGAGGAACAAATGATTTTAGTCTGTCAGGGAATTCAGCCGAGGATACGTTTGATCTGGAGTTTGTGATTGCTTCTGCCACTGGAATTCCTTATTCTCTCAGAGATGTGAAGTGGGAGAGAAAATAGCCCCGGGCTGTGAAATCCAACCAGGCCCCGAACAAGAGGAGGAGATAAGACTTGCAAAGATCAGGCATTACCAGCACCTTCATTTATTGATGGAGATAACGGCGCGAGAGAGATGAGACGGGTTTCAGCGCTCTGCCAATAAACTCATGGATCATAAACGTAATTATAGAACATTAAGAACAGATTTCAGTCGAGGAAATGATGCAAGTAAACTGGCAATAGGATGATTTTGAAAAGATATTTTGCAGCAAATTGTTCCAATTTTTTAATGTAAAGGATGCAATTTTCTGCCGTAAAAACAGTCAATCAAAACAGTAGCAATGTTGTCATTACAGTCAGTTTCTCCCGGTTAGAATTCCTTCAGTGTTCATCGTTCATGAGCCAAATTATCCACAAAGGCCTCTTCTTCTCCCAAACAACTGAAACAGGTGATTTAAACCGATAAAAACGACGAATAAAGCCATGCTATGTTAAAATCAGCGTTTTTCTGATGCTGTTTGGCGCAGCAGCAGCTGAGCTGCCGCTAACGTTTGTCCAGCTTGTTTCTCTAATAACTTCAGATTAAGATGTTCAGGAGGTTTTTACAAGGAGCTGAATTATCCACAGAGGTCTCCTCCTCTCCAAAACAAACAGACCAGGTGACTGAAACCCCTAAAAACGATGAATAAAGCGGTTTCATGTTAAAATCAGTGTTTTTCTGATGCTGTTTGGTGCATCAGGAGCCGGAGCTGAGCTGCCGCTAACGTTTGTTCAGCTTGTTTCTCTGATAACTTCAAATCAAGACGTCCCAAAAACTAAAATCCTTCATCCAAATAGTAAATAAAAACCGAGATCTAAAAAGTGTGTCGTAAAAATGTGGCTTAAAACTGGAGAAAAAAAGTCTAATTATGAAGCTTCTGGCAGACAAACACAACCCTGACGTATTGTTGGAAACATTTGGGACAATGCTGATATACAACTCAACAAAGCTTATAACATTGATTTTGACATTTGAATGCAGAAAAGTTACATGTCACATCTTTAATTCCTTCAGGTAGTGCAGCTCAAATTCACATTAAGTATTTGACTCAAGCTCTTAATGGGTATTTAGTAAATTAAGAAGTAAGAGGAGCTGATATCAGAGGCCTCTCTCACCTTGAAAGCTCTTTGGAGTCATCATCTGTCTGAGGACAACCAAGTCTCTAGAAAATATGTTGGCATCATACGTCTCTGTAAACCAGATTTATTACATCTGTACGTTATAATGCAGCTGTGGTTAACACCTGGTTTGATTTAGGCACAAAAACCTTTTGGTTATGGTTTGGAAAAGATGAAGTTTTGGAGGCACAATCCCTGCTGGAAGATTAGTGATATTTCTGTGAAATGCAAATGCTTTTTGTGGCGTTGTCCCGGCAGGAAATGCAGCAATGTCTTGGTAAAAAAAGCTGCTTTTGGTGGCATTACCCCGTCAAGCAAGGTGGCATTGTGTTTGTAAAAACAGACGCTTTTCATGGCACTATTCTGGCAACAAGTGAAGCGATGTCTCAGTAAAAACAGCCAAAAGTGACCGGTCACCACAAAACACTGTGTTTGGTGCCTAAAAGTCACGGAAATAGCAACAGTGACTTGGCAGGCGTCTCACTGAGGTGTCACACCATCTACTGTGCCCCAAAGTCTGCTTATAAACTACGGCACTTTAGAAACACTGAATGAAACGTGCAAATGTAGATATTTGAGGTTTGCAGAAACTTAGGATGCCGACATCTTCTCCTGGTGACCTGGCTTCCTTTGGAGCCCGCAGCTTTCTTTGTATCTTATCTGATTGTTAAGGCTTCGTTTCTGAATCTTATTTCCAGTCCTGCACAGATGATCAGATTTTAGTTTTAGTCTCTGTGTTTCACATCATGAAATGAGATCTTAACCATCTGTTGGTGCGGCTGTTGTTCAGTAAATGACTGACATTTATCAGAGTCTACTGGACACTGAGGGGAAATGCAACATTTCCTGAACATACCTCGTCCTGCAGACGTCTGTGAAACCATCTCCTGGTGTCCTGGAAGTGAACAGAGACAAAGAGATCTGTTAGAAATGACATCAAAGAGCCATCTACCATGCTGAAGGAGTGTGCCATAGCTGTTTGAGGGTTTTACAGAGGATCTAGCTATAAATGCATCACAGAAAGACGTCATTTTGGCTGAAGTTAAGTGTGAGAGCAGATGGTGAGTGCAGAGCGGAGGTGAAGGGCTGAGGTGAAGGCCGAGAGCTGCAGCGTCCCCAGATCGAGACCGATCAAGGACCTTTGCTGCATGACAATCCTGTTGTCTTAACTTTTAACTAAAGGCAGAAAGTTCCCCGAAACAAAGCTCCGACATCCGAAATTTGAAAGATAATGTCCGAGCTTCCACAGGAGATCTAAAGAAAGAATTTCAGACATAAGTCAAGAGCACCGCAGGAAGAAGCAGGGATCACCCAACTGTCTCTGATTTCACTGAGCGACACGTTCAAGTGATTCCTCTGTAGAGTCCGACTCAGCTGCGAGTCGTCTCCAATCAGCACTTGAGTTTTTACGAGCTGGACCGGCGGCGAGGCGCAGAACAGGCCCATCGGCTCAGAGTTTAAAGGCCTTTGCAGGAATGTGTTTTACAGCGAGCGCTGCATTCTCCCGCATCTCTCGGGGCTCCGTGTGAGAGGAACTCTTTATGAGAGACGAGAGTCTCAAAACACTCGGACCAGCCTCCACACACACATTTACACACACTGCCATCTACAGCACAGAATCACATTAATATAATCTTGAAATGAGATTTGTTAAGGTGGACTTTTTTTCCTCTTTCAGCCTGGGGCCACACTTAAATGTTCCAGTCCAGTCTCCAGAAGAAAACGGTGGCATTATACATTTCTGTAAACCAGGAATAGGTTGCATTTCATACATATATCAACTTTCTAAAGTGACGTAGTATATGAGTAGTACAATACGTAGATGGCATGACACCTAGGCGCATTCCCTGCCAAGTTTCCAGACCACTGTTCAAGACCTGCCGGGCTTGTGCTCCCAAAACCAGGTATTTTAAGCCCAAACATGATCTTTTCCAAACCATGACTAGGTTGTTGTATCAATTCCTGAGTTATGGCCAAAAACATGTCTCATGAGCTCACAGTGACCTTTGACCACAAAATATTAATCACTTAATTCTTGAGTCCAAATGGACGTTTGTGCCAAATTTGAAGAAATTCCCTGCAGGTGTTTCTTGAGATATTATGTTCATGAGAATGCAACTGATGAGGTCACAGTGACCTTTGGCCACCAAATTCAAATCAGTTAATCCTTGACTCAAAGTAGACGTTTGTGCCAAATTTGAGGAAATTCCTTCAGTGTATTCTTGAGATATCACATTCACGAGAATGAGACAGACAAGGTCACAACCTTGACCTTTGACCTATGAACCCTAAAAATCTAATGAATTCTTCCTTCAGTCTAAGGGCACCTTTGTGCCAAATTTGAAGACATTTCCACAAGGCATTCTTGAGATATTGTGTTCATGAGAACGGGACAGACAGATGGACAGACAACCCAAAAACATAATGCGTCCGGCCACAACTATCACCAGCACGGAGGCGAAATTGTGTAACACAAAAGCTACTTAAGGGGAAACATAAGGGGGAATTGAAGTTCAGGAAGTTAAAGAATTCTTTACTTTATTAGCTCAAATTGTGACGCAAACTGGAGTTCTTTAGATCACTTTTTTCTTTTTCTTCTCATTTAAATTCTTTGCATTTTCCCGAAACAACCCGGGTTAATTCTGAAGTTGTCGAATGGCCGCGTTCGGTCAGTGACTTCTGGTGTCAGATAGACATATTAGTGAAACTTTGTCATGATTAGTAAATGAATTCTTGAGTTATGGCCAAAAACATATTTTGTGAGGTCACAGTGACCTTTGATCTTTGACCTTCGGCTACCAAATTCTTGACTCAAAGTGGATGTTTGTGCCAAATACCGCACTCACAAGAATGAGATGGATAAGGTCACATTGACTTTGACCTTTGCCCACCAAAATCTAATCAGTTTATCCTTGACACATCTTTGACTTGTGCCAAATTTGAATTCCCTCAAGGTGACCATGACGTATCGCATTCGTGACAATGGGACGGACAAGGTCACTGTGTCCTTCAACTTTGAACGATGACTTCCAACCGACTACCAATCATGTGTGCATCTAATAAGTTCATTGTTGAGTTCAAGAAGACATTTGTGCCAAACTTGAGGATATTCCCTTACGGCATTCTTGGATATTGTGTTCACAACATTGGGAAGGACGAACAGGCAACCAGAAACCATAATGCCTCCGGCCGAGGTGGTGACCGTCACAGAGGGATAATAAAGAGCTGATGGTGTAAAACAGTTTGATAATGATCTCATATAATGAAAGAGTTTGTGTAACGTCAATGGAAAAGATTTACTTACTTTTTATTGAGTTTAATTTGCAATTTGCGTCATTTCCTGTTTGTACAAAATGGTAAAATACTTCTGATATACTAGTTAGTTAGTTATTTTTTATAAGCTATATAAAATGGAAAAATATGAATATTAACCCCCAAAATATTTATTCTGGACCTTATAAAACTAAATATATTAATACATACTGTTGCCTGCACTTACTTGCTTTTTTCCAGGGCTTTCAGCCACATTAAGGGTCTTCCCCAGCCGATAAAGTTTGCTCAGATGGACAACCTTTGACCTCCATCTGCCGATCAAGACCCTGACATGTGGTCAAAAGCTACAAGGAAAAGCAGTAAGTGCATGTTGAGTTAATGAACAAAGCTCCCAGAAATAAATTCTTCTTCTGTGGTTGACACCGCCGACCACCACAAGAGTCACCCAAACTCAGCGGCGTTCTGTGCGGTCAGACGCCAAACTCCCCGTCACTGCCACGATCACCGTGATGATATGAAAAGTGACGACCGGGCCAACGTGGACGCCACCGGCTCCAATTCCAGCAGTGACAACGGGACGCAGCGCGACGTGAAGGAGACTCTCTGCTCTGACCTCCACCACCCTGCGATGACACCACATCACATTAGCGGCGCTCTGCATGACGTGCGTGATTATCACACAGCTCGCCGTGTCAGCGCAGATGATGGATAGCGCTCGGCACTCATTCATTTCTATTAGACTAATATGTAAATCCCCTCCAGAGCGCCGCCGCTGCCTCCTGAAGCTGGAGACTCATTTAGGAATCAATTTCAGAAGCTTCTGGTCAAACTGGCGGTTAGAGAGTCTGTCTGTCTCCATTTGTGTCCGCCGGCAGATGTGAGTCAGCGACAAGCAACACAGCAACTGTACACACACACACACAGAGTCAACTCAACATAGAGTCCTGAAGGCTTCTCCTCCAGGCTGCCGTGGTCAGGACGGACACAATCTAAACTTCAGTATTTACACGAACCGAGACTGAAATCTTGGGATGATACTTAACATGTTTGATTTTGTTGGAACATCAAGAGATAGACAGACGAAAGACGGCTCAGACTTTAATGACCACCTTCCACCGAACCATCGAGACGAGCATAAACCATATAAAACAACCTTTTCTTTACCTCTGTAAGAATCGACTGATGATCTGTTCGGATCTGTATGATCCGCAGCACCTCGCAACTCCAGAAAAGCAGACTTTTTTGCATGGGTGGCCCCTGTGGGACAAATGTATTATTAAGGCGCGGCTCCTCTCATTTCAATAGGGCCACCTCCCTGCCGAGAGCGAGCGCCGGGGCCCCCGTGTCAACGGCTGCTTAATATTAACTAAGAGCCTCTGAATAATCTCCATCGTCAGAATCTGAGGTCAACGCTGCGATGAAGTGTTAAAGGACAAAAACAGCGGTATGGTCCTTTAACAGAGTGTTTAATGTTTAATGGAGAAAGTGAGAAACTCTGCAGCAGTGTGAGAGAATGTTTCTGGTTCCCAGTCGAACTCTCCTACAGACTCTATCAACAACCAACACCACAGAGAACATGTTGCTAACGTATGTTTCTGTAAACCTCGTTACGTTTGCATGATTTTATGTAGCCGATATGTTGAAACTGGACATTTTTGTGGCAGTATACCGGCAAGAAACACTGCAGTGTCTCTGTGAAAAACAGCCACTTCTTGCGATACTGTTGCGGCAAGAAACGGAGCTATGTCTGGGTAAGAACAACCGCTTTTCTTGGCACTACCTTGGCAGGGAATGAAGCGACATCTGGGTAAAAAAAGGACAACTTTTCGTGGCACTATCTTAGCAGTGGACAGGTCGATGTCTCGGTAAAATACAACCGTTTTTCGTGGCACTATGTTGGCAGGAAACACAGTGATGTCTCAGTAAAAAACAGCCGCTTTTCGTGGCACTATCCCAGCAGGAAATGCAGTTTTGTCTTGGTAAAACAATGTCTTTTTTGTAGCACTATCCCGGCAGGAAACACAGCGATGTCTCGGTGATAAACAGCCACTTCTTGCGGTACTGTCCCGGCAAGAAACGGAGCTATGTCTGGGTAAGAACAACCGCTTTTCTTGGCACTGTCTTGGCAGGAAATGAAGCGACATCTGGGTAAAAAAGGACAACTTTTCGTGGCACTATCGCGGTAATAAACAGGTCGATGTCTCGGTAAAATACAACCGTTTTTCGTGGCACTATGTTGGCAGGAAATGCAGTGATGTCTCAGTAAAACAATGTCTTTTTTGTAGCACTATCTCACCAGTGAACTCAGCATTGTCCCTGTAAAAAGCAACTGCCCTGTGGGGCCCTAACCTGGCAGGAAACGGAGATATGTCTTGGTGAAAACAACTGCTTTTCATGGCAATATTTTGGCAGGCAACACAGGGATATCTCAGTAATAAACAACTGCTTTTCATGGATCAAAGCTCATGTAATATCTCGTCTTTGGATTTTGCTGATAAGTTCATAAAAATAAGTTCTTTATTTGTCTGTTTTTTTTGCCATTTTTCAAGCAAAAACGGCATAAAATGTTTGTTTTCAGCTCCTCAAACATATTAGTTAAATATTATTGTATTTTTGTGGATT